GGAGAGAGAGATGGTTGGGAGAGAAGACACGTCCGTGTTGGAGAGAGAGCAGGGCGGGTGGGAGGGAGCTGCACTTGAAAACATTCATACATGGTCTGTAACAAGGTTCTAACATGCACAAAAGACGAAACTGCACTCCATCTGGACTGGGTGCATATGTATATGAGTGAGAGTGTGCGTGGGTGTGAGTGTGCGTGCGCGTGCCATGCTCGTGTGCACGTGTGGGTGTGAGTGTGCGTGCGCGTGCCATGCTCGTGTGCACGTGTGGGTGTGAGTGTGCGTGCGCGTGCCATGCTCGTGTGCACGTGTGGGTGTGAGTGTGCGTGCGCGTGCCATGCTCGTGTGCACGTGTGGGTGTGAGTGTGCGTGCGCGTGCCATGATCGTGTGCACGTGTGGGTGTGAGTGTGCGTGCACGTGCCATGCTCGTGTGCACGTGTGGGTGTGAGTGTGTGTGCACGTGCCATGCTCGTGTGCACGTGTGGGTGTGAGTGTGCGTGCACGTGCCATGCTCGTGTGCATGTGTGGGTGTGAGTGTGTGTGCGCGTGCCATGCTCGTGTGCACGTGTGGGTGTGAGTGTGTGTGCGCGTGCCATGCTCGTGTGCACGTGTGGGTGTGAGTGTGCGTGCGCGTGCCATGCTCGTGTGCACGTGTGGGTGTGAGTGTGCGTGCGCGTGCCATGCTCGTGTGCACGTGTGGGTGTGAGTGTGCGTGCGCGTGCCATGCTCGTGTGCACGTGTGGGTGTGAGTGTGTGTGCGCGTGCCATGCTCGTGTGCACGTGTGGGTGTGAGTGTGCGTGCGTGTGCCATGCTCGTGTGCACGTGTGGGTGTGAGTGTGCAGTCACATGTGTGCACTCGCATGCAAATGATACACAACTCACCTTTTCCGCGACGGGTAAAAAAATGTCTCAAACGCGGAGCTGCAATTCATCTGCAACAGACGAGTATGTGTGTGTGGGCGAGAGAGTGTGCCAGTGTGTGCACTGGCAAACATGGATTTGAAACCTCACCTTATCTGCAACAGGGTCCAAGAAAGCTCCAAACGCGGAGCTGCAATTCATCTGCAACATCAATCCCCCCAAAACAGCAGAGTACGATAGAAGACAGGATGAGGACGAGGGTATGAGTGAATGGAGACAGCACGAGTATGTGAGAATGAGTGAATGGAGACAGCACGAGTATGTGAGAATGAGTGAATGGGAGACAGTAAGAGTATGTGAGCATCTGCGAATGGGAGTCAGTACGAGTATGGGAGCATGTGTGCATCGGAGACAGCAAGAGTGCAGGTGTATGTGTGAACTGCAAACAGGGAGAGCCTGTGAGAATGTGTGAGGAAGTGGGAAAATCGGCGAAAGAGAGTGAAAGAGCGGGGTGAGGGTGGGGGAAGAAGGAATATGGGTAAGGGGAAGGGAAGGGTATGGGGGGTGGGGTTGGGGAGGAGGAGGGTGGGTGGGGGGATGAGGAAACAAGGGGATGATAGACCACTCAAAAGGGCAACGAATACAAGCAACGCAATAATCATGTAACGTACTTTTCGAGCCAGATATCCATCCAGCCAATTAGTGATCGAGGCCATGATGAAAATGGCGGTGGCAATTCCCGGGGTGAAGAAGAACGCTGAAAGGGACGGAACAGCAAGATGGACGGGCAAAGGAGGCAAGGGACAGGGGGCGGAAGCAACAATAGGAGGAAGAATGGGAGGAAGGCACACCGTGAGAAAGGGACAATGGGAGCAACGAACAATGGGAGGGAGGACCAATGGGAGGAAAAATCAACGGGAAGAGGAATCAATGGGAGGAAGGAACGATGGGAGGAAGGAGTAACGGTAGGAAGGGACGTTGAGAAAGGGACAATGGGAGGAAGGAGAAACGGCAGGAAGGGACGTTGAGAAAGGGACAATGGGAGGAAAGAATCAATAGACGCGGCAGAAACGAAATTCGGCACCCGACAGCAAACGGATGTAGACCTATCACTAGGGATCCCTAAATCGGGAACCACTGAACGTACCGGGAATTATGGCGGGAACTGCTACGACGCGAGCGATCGTTAGGATAGTCGGCAACGTTATCACCTCCTCCCTCTTTTTCTCCTCGGGAGCTCCCGACGATCCCCCAACTGTCCCTGCACCATCCCCACTGTCTCTGACCACGTCCTTCTGCTTCTCCTCTGGCGGTAAATCGCTCGTCGGAATCGTCGCCCCGTTTCCTCCGGCTGCGTTGACGGTCACGCCGGCGTAGAATTGACGGCTAGCCGTCAGCGGTTGGAAAAACGCGGCCTCGTCGTTGAGCTTGACCCTGACGCGGTTTCTCGGCCGTCCGTCGGCGTGACGGTGGAGCGACGAAAATGGAAGGCTAACCGGCGAAGTAGGAAGGCGCTGCTCCAACGCTTGCACGCACGGAGCTGCAGCCATGATTGGCGAAGACCGGGAGGTTGATGTGAACGATGACGACGAAATTGATGTAAATCTCGCAAGGAGGGACAGTTGTGGCGAAGATCGCGAGCAAGATAGAGAGACGGACGAGGACGCAGGCGAAGAAAGCGTAGGCTGCGAAGGAAACGAATTTTTTGGTAACCCGCTTGTGCTTTTCGCGAACACTAGGCTCTTCTCTGTAGGCTCGCTCAGCAAACGGATGGTCGTTCGCGACGACGATCTGGCAAACGATCTGATCACAACCGCATGGAATACACAACCACTAGAGAAGCTCTTGATCACAGGTAGAGACGGGGGAAGTGGAGGTGAGAGGGAAGAGGCTACGCGCCTGTATGTGGAGGTTGGAAGACGGTGAACCTGAGGGGGAGCCATGGATTTATGGATCAGCAACGGTAAACCCTAGTTGCTCGGCCATTACTGGTTTGGTTACGTGTCATGTCTGAATAAGCTTGATTTGAAACAATATTTTTTTGGAGAGTTGTAGTTCGGTGGGATACGTTCTTGAAGGTCGCATACTCGTGATACTGCGGTCCCACAAGGTAATGAACGGTGACGTGTTTTCGGAATCCTCCCTCTTGCCTTGGAACCGTTTTCTCCCTTTCCCTGCTGTTCGAAATTGTTGCAGCATGGTGTTGCTGTCTGCAGCTCACTGATTGGTTTGATATTTCAGGCATTCCCGATGGAGATGCGAGATTCTGGAGAGAATTGCTCCAGTGCCTTGTTTGGTGATTCGCTCTTGCCCACGTGTCCCCGAATTGCTCGAGTGGCCATCCAATTCAGTGATAATTTCTCGAGTGGCCATGCCAGGGCATTTTCGAGGTGTTTTGTTTCCCTGGCACATAACCCTACAAGGGTTCGTACCCCCGAAATTCCTCGTTCGCACAATAGTAGATGCGCGGTCATTTTCGGCCCAATGCGCGACCAATGAGCGCGTGGGCAATTACATCAGCGATCATAAACTGCAACGCCAGAGCATAAATGCACGAACATATTATTGACCGCGCACGATTGGTCGATAATATGCTTTTTGCCCTTTTTGGCAATGCGCGTCCAATCACGCACGGTCATATAATTCACGACCATATATTTAGGCGATAAAGGGTCGCCCAAAAACCAATATGAGCGCGCATATATTACCATTACTTCTATCATATGTCCGGTCCATATAAAACCATATATATCAAATGCCATAAATATATTATCTGCTATTAATTTAAGCCCATCATACTAGACATAATATTGTATCGTGGTCTACCATAATATTAATTTAAGCCCATGACACCGTGGTCCATAATACTGTATTGCCGGTAATATGGTTGCAGAAATAATATGTTTGGCAGCATAATATTAATTTAATCCCAGCATAATATGCTTCCACCAAGGTTATGAAGGGTTTAAATTAATAGTAGAGAATATATTTATGACATTTGATATACATAGTTTATATGGACTGGAAATGTGATAGAATTAATGGTAGTATATGCGCGCTCATATTGGCTCTTGGGCGACCCTTTATCACCTAAATATATGGTCGTGAATTATATGATCGTGTGTAATTGGACGCGCATTGCCAAAAAGGGCAAAAAGCATATTATCGACCAACCGTGCGCGGTCAATAATATGTTCGTGCATTTATGCTCTGGCGTTGAAGTATATGAACGCTGATGTATTTGCCCGCGCGCTCATTGGTTACGAGCAATTTATATGCTCGAGCGCTTACTGGTTACGAATTTGTTTGCCCGCACGCTCATTGGTCGCGCATTGGGGCAAAAATGGCCGCGCATTTACTGTTGGTGGGGCCACGTTCGCGACCGCCAACCACCCGAAATTTTCGGGTGGGGAATAGTACGAATCACTACCGCTTGATGAAACTCGTGCGAACGAGGAATTTCGGGGATACAAATCCTGGTAGGGTAATGTGACGGAGAAGAAAAACACCTCGAAAATGCCCTGGCGTGGCCACTCGAGCAATTATCACTGAATTGGATGGCCACTCGAGCAATTTGGGGACACGTGGGCAAGAGCGAATCACCAAACAAGGCACTGGAGCAATTCTCTCGAGATTCTGAGTTTTGCGAAGCTCGTAACACACGCCCACGAAAACTGGAGTTCGTCAGGAGCACGTGCCCAGCCTCCAGCTGAAACGTGACCGAAGTACGTCCAGGGCTTTTGCGAAGTGCCTTGTGGAGGGCTGTTTCTCTGACAGAGCTGTTCGTTAACCACATGGGTGTGTGCTCGTCCTGCTGTAATGCCGCCTGAACTATCCAGCTGACCCTAGAGAGCTGCGACAGCAGCAATCGGTTGTGTGTTCCCCGAATGCGGTTCAGTTGGGTTCTTCATGATTCAGCAGGATTTCCACTTTATACCTCTTTGTAACGCAACAAACCGAACAAAAACGCATGCCTTCAAGGCGAACCCCCTGGGAAACATTGATCAAGCCATACCTGGGAATTTTACTAGAGCCATAACTTCAAGTTTTTTTGCATTTTAGTCTGAGCTTAGCAGCAATATTGCTTGTTGCCGCCTTCAAGCGCTTATTTGCTTCCCTAAGTGGTGCAATCAGAAAACGATGGCCGGATCAAAAGCTCTGCTCGGGCTACTCGGGATTGCCACCATTCTGGTGTGCTTGCTTCCTCCTAGCCTCGCTGCTGTACCTGCCATTTTCAGCTCGAGCGTCAGGTATCGCACTTAACCTCGTCCAAGCTTTGTACTTTTACCAGTATCGTTTTTCTTAAAGTCTTTCTGATCGCATCGCCGTTTCAGTTCAGTCGACTAACTTCTAGGGTTCTGCAGGTTGTCAGATCCGACTGAAGCTGTCAGCTACGAGTCGGTTCAAGGATCCGCTCTTTCTTCTCTCCTGTTCGACCCTTCTCGCGATGTAAGAACACCCGTTTTACGATCACGCGTCCTGATATAACCCAATCCATTTCGCTGGCCCTAAAATCATCATTCGCGGTTTGTTGACCAATGTCATTGGCGAGCGTCCCTGTTATCTTCCATAACTCTTTCAGTGTGTCGTATCATGTCGTCAACACCTCCTTTTCATAAAGCCAGCCATCCGACGCTGGCGTATGTCGTGAGTCAGAAGCGGCCTCCTTCTGAATCCCCGTTTCTAGTAGTTTTTAAATCGAGTAACGTCTGAGTGCACCGAGCTTCACTCACAGGGCCATCAGATTTGGATCGGCTGGATTTGCATCAGGATGTCGACACATGTCCTGCACGCATGGACTCGTTCAAGAAGACTACTTCCTGTTCCGTGGCCTACTTCAAAACGCTCGTTCGCTCTCGTGTACCCGTCTCTCTCCTCCTGTCGATTACAGGATTCGATCTTCTCATCCTTCGTGGAGGAAAGGCCTGGCGTGGTCCTCGTGTTCCTGGGCAAGGAGGTTAGTCAGTCTTTGCTTTGTCTACATATTTCATTACCTTCATAACTGTCATGTCCGTTCTTGTCTTGCACCACGTTCACTTCATGTTCGTCTTTTTTTTTTTTGGTAGCACCTTTGGGAGCTGCGCATGTCCTGCGTGCGAGCCGTGGAAACTTACTCTTTTGCTTATTCCATGCTGTTTTGCAGATTCGAACCACCGACCTGTCGTCTCCAACTGGATCCGTTGAGCCTCTGAAGGTACGCTCCTAGCGCTGAGAAAGGCATGGGGTGGGAGAAGCGGGTGGGGAGAAACGGAGAAGTTTTATGGGGAACAGGGTAGAGTATGGCATGGCGTTTGGGACGTTCGGGGAGGGAGGAGGGGGGAGGGGGGGGGGAGGGAAGGTGGGAGAATGGGCGTACGTAGGGGAAAAGGGTCGGTGGGTTGGAAAGTGGGGAGGTGGAGTCTATAGTTCCCTTCGCATCCTCTCACGCAGACGTCTGAGGAGCACTTGCCTCGTTCATCTTCTGTTCGCTTGCCGCCCTCACTCCTCTCTCCCTCCCTTTTCCTTGCTCCTCTCGAAACTTCCAAGGTGTTTTTTCTTATGTGCGCATACTCAGCCCCCCTGTTCTCACGTCTGCACTTGCTGCCTTCTTCCCTCTCTCCCTCCTTGCCCCACTCCTTTCCTCGCCTTCTTTCCTCTATTGGCTTTGCTCCCTTGTTTATTCCTCCCCTGCTTTTCGCCTTTCCTCTCCTTCATCCTCTCCCTTCGTTTCTCATCATTCTCATTTCTCTTTTCCTCCCTTTTCTCCCTCCCTGGTTTTCTTCCCTCGCCTCCGTTTTCACTCAATTTCTTTTTCCGTTTCCTCCCCTTTCTCCCACCTTTTCTCCGTACCCGTCTTTGCTCCCTCCCGCCCCTCTTTTTCCCCGTTCCTGGTCCCCCTCCCTTCCCGTTTTTCTTCCCTTTCCTTCTTCACTCCCTTTTCTTTTCAGGCACTCCTCGCCCAGTCCGCGTCCTCCAAGGTCTTCCCCTATGTGCAGCCGCTCGACCACGCTGACACTGCGCACGCGCTCGATGCTCTGCTTGCCTCCTTCTCCTCCCTGGCCTATGCGGGCCATGCTGCTGTCAGTGCCTCATGTGGGCCCGTCTCCCGTCCCGGAAGCCACCGCTTCAGCGGTGAAGACTCGCTCCAGGTACATGGCCGTCTGAAGTGAAGGGAGGGTGTGCAAATAGAGTGCCAACTTCTTCTCTCTGGAATGCTTTACTTCCTCGCTGGCCTGTACGGGGTGGGCTGCGCTCAGTGCTTGCTTCGTGTGGGCCTGTCATTCCATTCGTATGGGGACCCAACTCTGTGGGAACGAAGACTCCCACTAGGTGGGTAAGCTGCGTCTGTCTCGTCGTCGTTGGTAACTGCTCTGTGCTGTGAGGTTCTGGCTCGTGTCGGCTCGTGATTCGTCTCTCCCTTGTGTGACCCTGTGCACTGATGACACTTTGCACTACTGTGTGATTTTTCCATGCCTTTCGCATCTCTCCTTAGCATGGCCGTTCTTGCATGCCCCCCTGAACAACCGTGCCAGCACGAGGGCGACAAGGGAGCTTGACATTATGCTTTGCTGCTCGGATGCCGCTGTGGCCTCGGATGCAATTTCACGTTATTTTCAGCTAGAGTGTACCTTTTCATTTCCCTCGTGCATCTCCTCTTGTGAATTTCCTCACGTTCAGGACCTTCTGAACAACCGTGCGAGCGTGAGGGCAGCTAGGGAGCTTGACATGGTGCTTTATTGCTCGGACGGCCCTGCAAGCGCTGACTCACACGACGATGCTGTTGCAGCAGAAAGTGAGAGCATCTTCTTTCACCGCACTGCCTCACGTCGCGTCGCACTCCCTTGCACCTCATTCCCTCACCTGGCACTCCTTCACACCGAACTCCACTCCCCCAGAGAGGTGCCGGTTTCCTCTTCTTGTTGCCCTCCTGAGTTCCTCCTCCCACAGCTGTTGAGCTCTTCACTCTGACTTCCCTCCTCCAGTTCATCGCCCCCAACTACGCTCGCTTCTGCACCACACTCCCTCTCACCGCACTCCCCCACACCGCACTCCCTCACACCGCACTTCCTCATACTGCAGTCCTGTTTGTCTCCCCTCTATTTTTTTTTCTTGCAGACACTCCCTCACACTGCACTGTTCTGCTTGTCTCCCCTCTGATCTGATCCCCCCTCTGATCTCCCCTCTGATTCCACCTCTGATTTCCTCTCACATCCACTGAGCTTTCTACTCTGGCGCTCATCACCCCCAGCTACGCCCCCTTCTACACCGGACTCCCTTACACGACATTCCTTCTGCTTGCCTCCCTCTCTGATTTCCCCTCTCATCTCCTCTTGCAGCCACTACGCTCTCTTCTACACGCACTCCCTCACACCGCTCTCCATCACACTGCACTCCTGCTTGTTTCCCCTCTGATCTTCCCCGTGATGTCCTCCCTCAGTTACTGAGCTCTCCTCTCTGGCGGCCGTCATCAAGGCTGTCACCCCCAGCTATGCCCGCTTCTACACCGAACTCCCTCACACTGCACTCACGTACCCCCTCTTTCTGTTGTCCTCCCTTGTCTTCCTCCCTCAGCCACTGAGCTCTCCTCTCTGGCATCCCTCGTCAAGGCCATCACCCCCAACTACGCTCTCTTCTACACTGCTGTCCCCGACGTCGACGTGGGAGCACAGAGGCGTCTCCTTGCTGCTGCTGACGACTACCCTGCTGCCGGCGCAGGTGCCGCTGATGCTGCTGCTGCAGGCGGTGGTGCTGGTTTTGATGCAGTTGGTGCTGGTGCGGATGCTGGAGTGGGTGCAGAGGGCGTGGAGGGACAGGATGTGGCTAGGGCAGCAGTGGTGAAGAAGCAGAAGTGTGGGCCAACGTGCAAGACCCGTACCGCTCTCCTTGAGGGCATCTTTGCTGTGAGTTAGTTCCTCTGCTTTGTTTCCTTTCTTTTTTCCGTGTCACCTCACCTTACTTCCCTGGAGTGGACTATTCTTGTGGGTCAGAATGTTAGGCAATTCTTTATCTGACCTCTTGTTTTCCCGTGCACTTGTTTCATTGTCTTGTCTGCAGGGCATTGTGATGCTCATGATTCTCGTCTCAGGCCTCACAGTCCTCTCTCAGATTGACACGCCCACACGGTTCGAGGTTTCCCGTGAAGCCTCCTAAATTTGTGAGACATCTTGAGTCTGATTGGGGTCTTCCGTCATCGCAGTTCTGCGTACAGATGCTCTGATCTGGTGTGGAAGTTAATGGTCCTAAATCAATTAGCATGGTTCGTTAGTGTTGCATGAACTCTACGATTAGTACTTATAACTTCGAATAGAGGTTTGCGCCTGCTAGTCTTTGATGTGTATACGTCCACGTTTTTACAGGGGGCTTCTGGAGGATGAATGCATGTTAAGATACGGTGATTGCTTCTTCCTGTCAATGATAATGCATTCTGATATACATTTTCCAGCTTCACCCAGGAAGTTCTGCAGCCTGTAACAACGAGTACTGTTGCCATCATGCAATTTTCCGCCGCCGTTTCACCGCAAGGCGACCCGGTGTCACGAGCAAAACCAAAGAGAGAGGTACGGAGTAGACGAACCACATGACTGGTTTTGAACGTGAAGCGACATTCTTGACAGACGATTTGCTGCGATGAATTTCCCCTGTGTTCTATTTGTTACCAACCGTGCGACGAATGGGCGAAGCTCGTTCTACTTGCTGCCGCCTGTCCCTGATTTGTCGACAATCCGAACGTCAAAAATAGCGACTTTAGCACCTGCCAAACGTCTTCCATGTGAAGGCTCCCCGAGCCTTCAGCCCCAGGAAATCGGTTCGGCTTTTCCCCCCTTCGCCCACTTGCGCCACTCTCGTGCTTACATTGCCCCTCCAGGCTCGGCACACCATCAGCTGCCGCGGCGCGTCTACCGCTGCCTGCTTCTGCGAACCAAAATGACCGCTCTCGAACCAATCAATCCCTGATTTCTCGAGCCTGAACAAGCAGGCAGCAAACCAGGACCTCCCGACGTAATTCCTAGCCTTGGAACCACCACTCGTCCTCCCCCTCCGCTTTGTTCGAGAGTTCAGGGCGCAACCTTTCCAGTTCGGTGGAACAGCAGTGTATTTCTCTTTCCTTGCTGCTCCTGTTACTGCTTTTGCTGGTGGTGCTGCTGCTTCCCTGCTGTGCGCTTCTTCTTGGTCTTCTCCATTCCACTCACTTCCCAAGTAATCCATCAGCATGTCCTCGTATGACTAGAGCAATTTCCAGTTAGGTTGCTTGAGGCACCCATTGCCATTGCTGCAGCCCTTTTCTCGAACGGACCTGCGACAGCGACAATATCGCATTTCATCTGGACCCACTGGGTCGAATACTCTTGCCCCTGCTCACCGCTTCTCATTACTGCAAATCGCAATAGCAAACGATTACAAGACCTCCTGCAGAGAGGCACCTACTACGAACTTGGTTTATACCATGGCAACGGGTCCGACCTGCAGACTCCCACTTTCACTAAGTAACCGCTGTCATTAGTCGCCTCCAGTGTCGCTACTTAGTCGTCACCTCCTAATCGTTTTCTTCTTAGTGCCAGTGACAGTTCCCGCATACCCTTTCGACCTGCAGCTATGGGGCGGACCACCTCGTTCTTTCCGTCCCGCCTACCGCGTCTCTTCGCCCTTCTCTCCCTGCTTCTCCTCGCGTCGCCGATAGCGCACCAGCTCGTCTCCGCGCAACCCGTTGCGCCAGGCGCCGTGCGCGGGAAAGCCGCGCTACCCGCCGCAGCCGCAACGACGAAGTCGACAGACCAAGACGCGATCGCGAAGAAGCGGTTACAGCTGTTCCACGAAGTCGTGCAGGCGATTGCGTTTTCGCACGTCGCAAATGCGACCAACGGAACGATAATAACCCTACCTTCAACACCCTCGTCTGGGTCGACTATGGACCTCGCCGTCCTCGATACTGCGTCGTTCGCTGCAAATGGTATTAGCTATAAGGAGTTTTACTTACCGCCCGGATTAAACGTTCCTACGACCGAGTCTCAGGTGGTGTTACTGTACCAGAATTACCCTAATTTCACGGCGCCGTTTAAACCGCCCAAGGGTTACAAATACGCGGCCCAATTCTTGGGGCTGAGCGTGTACCCGTTTTCGATGATCAACAGCGCGACTCTTGTCGAACCGCTGAATGTGACTGTAACGGATACGAACACGCCGATTCAGGTCTCTCTGGCTTTGGACGTCTACTTTCCAGATTTTTACTTCTGCGTGACGTTTGACCCTGACGGCCTGCCTGTTAATTCTACAGTAACAACCGACAGGTCTCCCCCGCCGCCGTCGTCTACAACTCCAGTCACGGGCACCACCAACTACACCTGCAAATCTCCCGACCTAGGGGAATTTACCCTAGCAATCTCCCTCGAACCCCCTCCGCTGTCTCCCCCGCCTTCCCCCGCTCCCCCCACTCCGCCTCCCCCTTCCCCCGTTCCTACCCCCCCGCAACCCCTTCCTCCGCCATCCCCCGCGCCATCTTCCAGCAACGACACTGTAGCACTCGCGGTGGGGTTATCCATTGGAATTTTCTTCCTGCTGCTGGTTCTGGGCTGCCTCGCGTGGGTGTTTTGGCGATCGCATCGGAAGGCGAAGCTCGAGCAGATGGAGCGTGACGCGGAGAAGAAGCTGAATCTCGAGACGGCGCTGGTTGGCGGAAACCGAGCGCCTGCAGCCGGCGCGTCGAGGACGAAAGCGGTGATCGAATGGGAGGAATCGCTGCCGTCCATTGATGGAATCTAAGAGCTTCACGGACAGCTGTGTCCCGTATGTTTCCGCATGCATCGACATGCCAGAGGGCAATGGGAGGAGGTGAAGTGGGATTGAAGCGGCAGGATGCATGAGAGGGTTGGTGGCTGTGCTGTGGATGGCAGGGGATGGCAGTGGTCACTGGAGAAGGTTCCTGGAAGGTGGAAGTAGAGGTGGGAGGCGGGATTAGCCCCTGGAGAATGGAGGGCAGACACAGCGGAGGTGGTGGTGATGTTTGGTAGTGTGTGGTAGTGTGTGGTGCTGGCCGCTGTGTGCTTATACTGTCGGTGTTATTTGGCTTGAGCAGCGTAGCTGATTTGAAAATGGGAGGGGATGGTTGGAGGCGGGTACCGTATGGGGGTGGAGGAGAAGATGCAGGCAGGTGCAGTGGCAGCAGCAGAAGCTGCAGCACAACTAGGATTGCAAGTAAACAGGACATGTTCAAGATAGGTTGACGATACAAGCATGTAGTGGTGGAACGCTGGGCTAATTAGTTTTTGTCCTTTTTATATGACCATCCGTATTTGTTGTGGTTACTGTATGGCTTTGCTTGATGAAATATGAGTTATGACCTTGTGGCGTTAGATGGGTTATACATGCGATACAGTTTTTTTGTTTACCCTTTCATGTGGGTCCCTCTCACTAATGTCCACAGGCATCCACTTATGGTGGTGATGTGCGTACGGAAGTGGTTTTCCAGAAGCTGGACAAATACCGTATAACACATGTCCGAATCTCGATGACGAGTAGCGAGTACAAAGTTCAAATCCATCGGGATTGGCCACGCTGGAGTCAATCTCTGACAGATTGCGGTAACATACTTCGACTCTTTTCGACCTTGTCGCAGAGGCGTCTGCTCCAACAATGGCGAAACTGAAGATGGCGTCAGTGTCACTTTTTGTTCCTACTTTCTGCCTGATTCTGGAATCTGGTTATTGCTTTCTGGATTCCTGAAACCCTGAATTTCCCTTGCTGATCCCCGAAACCAATCTCTTGATCATAGAAGCAGGCGATTGCATAGTAGCTCGCAGCGGCTCCAAGTGCTGGTCCATTGTATCGTTTTAAGATGTCCTTAGGCCACTACAGCTTGCAGTTTTCAGAAATGGCTATGTTGGTCCTGTATTCTGAATTGCTTCAGACATGATTATGTTAGCCAGCAATGTCCCATTAGCGAGCTCCGTAGTCCTGCAAGATTGCGTTTCCGGCAGTAATGCGGACAAAAAGAGGATGGCGACATCAACTCGTCGCAGGCCTGGATTCGCCAGTCGCAAAACGTCGCGAGCAGCCAAGGTGTTCGCCTGGCTGGTCGACGACGCTGACGAGTCGCAGGCGACGTTCGGCTGCGATCAATCGCCTGCATGCGATGAGGCGCCAGTAGGCGTGCCTGATGAAGCACAAAGGACGAATCTTCCGACAGACGGAAAGCAGCTGCTTTCTGATTCCACTCGAAGCACGCAGGTGGCCGAGCGCACGGATCCTCATAAAAATGGAATTTCGCAGAGGAAAGATTGTGAGAGCGCCGAAAACAGGAATCGCCATAAGCTTGAGCAGAGCACAGCCAGCATTGACAAGCTGTTGCAGGTTGAGAATGAGGAGCCCGGAATGTTGAGGGAGATAGATAAGGGTCAATCAGAATACAAAGAGGAGGGCACGATGGGATTATTAGGAAGGAGAGCAGCGGGAATAGAGCATCAGGGACCAGAGCAGAAGGGTCAGATCTTGATGCAAGCGTCCGAGAGCCGAGCAGCGGGAGCTCAGCAACCAGAGCAGAAGGGTCAAATCTTTAAGCAAGCGTCAGAGAGCAGAGTATTGGCTCAGACAGCTGCTGAATGCGCATCAGTAAAAAAAGGATTGCCTTTCGAAGCACAGGAAAATGCTGAAGATTCTCTGCTGGTTCGTGAGAAATTTCAAAAGGCAGGTGAAGACTTGACGCTGGATTGTGAGAGCTTTCAAAAGCCGATTCAAGATTCGCTGCTGGTTTGTGAGAAATCTAAGAAACAAAGTGAAGATTCGCTGCTGCCGCAGGACGTCCGCGAGCGAATTGATGCGAACCGGCAAGCAGCCATTCAGAGGCGAGCAGAGAGGTTGAGGTGGCAGGTGGAGGGGGGAGAAGAGAGCAGGGATCATGGTCATTATCATCATCATCAGCAGCAGCTGCAGCAGCAACAGCAACCGCAGCCACAACAGCCACAGCCACAGCAGAAGCCGCAGCAACCGCAGCCACAGCATCAGCAGGGCCCAGTAGCTCCTCTGCAGGTGTCTTTGGAGCTCGTTTCAACCGAAGAGTTCTGTCTCTTTGCGGATTGGGACACAAGCGGAGCTGCTTATAAGGAGTTCATAAGAAGGGCTGGAGGAGAGACAAGCAAAGTGTCTGGCGGGAGAAACACGAGAGATTTCGACACTGGACGAGGAAATCAGAACGTACCAGTGATTGGAGAGGAGGCTAATACAGGGTGTTCTTATAACGAGAAGTCAGGGCACCAGCGCGAAATTGCAGGAAGGCCACAGAATGGCACTGAGGGGGATGCAGGCAGCAGGGGCAGCAGCGGCAGCAGGGGCAGCAGGGGGATGCGGCTGGACCATCAGACTGCTCTTGCGTTCTGCATGAGCTTCGTTAAGGTGATGCAATGTGCCGCTCTTCCTTCCTCTGGGATGTGGGAATATCTTTGACCTCAAATGCAGTCGTGCTGGTGCTGGTGCCTGTACGGATTGTGCTCGTTGTAGAAGTGAAAATATCCCGTTGTACATTGGTGGTGTGAATGAACAAGCTGATGTGGTTACACAGTTATGCTCTGAGACTGGAATTTCCAATCGCTTGATGGGTTGGCTAACACTTCTGAGGCGCCTCAAAAGCTGAGGTGGTTACAAGGTCATGCTCTGAGATTGGAATTCCCTAAGGCTCTGAGTTCCCAATCGCTTGATGGGTCGGCTAACACTTCTGTTGTCTGCTCCCATCCACTGCCACTGCAGGCTCGGCCAATCCGGTGGCAGCACGTGGCAACAGAGGCATCAAGGGGCGTCACCCGTCTGGTGCCTGTGTTCCCTCTTCGCCTCTACGACTCCCTCCTCTTCTCCCTCCGCGCCATCCCTCCCTTCCATGCCTCACAACCGCTTCGTCCAAACCAACAACCGGACCAATCCTGTCAAGCCTTTCAACCCCGTCTTGTGAACCAGTGTGAGAGATTGAGTGTGGGGGTGCGGATACAAGGCGTCCCTGTGAGTACCCTGGGTGCGTTAAAGGAGAGGAAGGAGAGGGAGAGGATGAGAGGTATGGTGGAAGCCGCAGCAGGAGCAGCAGCAGCAGCAGCAGATCTTGGAAAAAGAGGAGTGGCAGAGGCAGAGGTCACAGCAGGAGAAACTATCAAAGTAGAAACAGGAGGAGCCGCAACAGCAGGAGGAGGAGCAGCAGCATCAGCAGCAGCAGGTGTAGGAGGGTCAGGAAGTGCAGCAGGAGAAAGCACTCACGTTTCACCTTTTCTAAACCTCGCCTGTCCGACTAGTGACCCGGCAGCAGGGTCGGGGCAAGGTGGTTCGGGGAGAGGTGGTTCGGCAAGGAGTGCACTGGATCGGGAGATGGAGCAACGGCTGCCAATTCAGCTCCAGCGAGCGCTGCTGCCGTTCCAGAGGGAGGGAGTGGCGTTTGCAGTGGGGAGAGGGGGGCGCTGCCTGATTGCAGACGAGATGGGCGTGGGGAAGACCATCCAGGTGGGATTTTGCTCGTGGGTGCTTGTATAATGGTGTCTCAAGGAAATCTGTGGGGGTTTGCCGTGAGCAGAGGGGGCCGCTGCCTGATTGCAGACGAGATGGGCGTATGGAAGACCATCCAGGTAGACCGTAAGTGTGTGTGTGTGTGTGTGTGTGTGTGTATGTGTGTGTGTATGTGTGTATGTGTATGTGTGTGTGTATATGTGTGTGTGTATGTGTGTGAGTGTATGTGTGTATGTGTATGTGTGTGTATATGTGTGTGTATGTGTGTGTGTGTGTATGTGTGTGTGTATGTGTGTGTGTGTATGTGTGTGTGTGTATGTGTGTGTGTGTATGTGTGTGTGTATGTGTGTGTGTATATGTGTGTGTGTATGTGTGTGTGTGTATGTGTGTGTGTATGTGTGTGTGTATGTGTGTGTGTTTGTATGTGTGTGTGTATGTGTGTGTGTGTGTGTATGTGTGTGTGTATGTGTGTGTGTGTGTGTGTATGTGTGTGTGTGTATGTGTGTGAAGGCCGTTCTAGAGGGAGGCAGTGGGGTTTGCAGTGAGTGAGCAGGGGGGGGCGCTGTCTGTCTGCAGACGGGATGAGTGCTTGAATCACCACTCATGTAAGCTCTTTCATGTGTTCTCGTGTGTTTACTCATGTGTGTCAATGCATAAGTGTCAATGCCTAAGTGTCAATGCCTAAGAAAATTGCTACAATCGGATATGAGATGGATTCGAGTCCACTCAAGGAACAGACGCCTACCCTCTTTCCTTCCTATCCAACTACGTTTCCCTTGCTCCCACCCTTTTCGCTTCCCCATCCTAATCAGGCCATAGCAGCAGCGGCGTGGTACATGGTAGAGGGCCCTCTCCTCATCGTGTGTCCGGCGTGCCTCAGACTGCAGTGGGCCGAGCAGCTGGAGAGGTGGCTGCCCTTCCTACGCCCCTCCCAGATCCACATTGGTAAGCCCCCTGCCCTCCCTGTACTAAGGTAATGACCGCCAGTACAAGCGAAGTGAGTGGATCTATCATGCTAGCAGGTGCTACCAGCTGCCCTGTGCTCATCGTGTGTCGGGCATGCCTCAGGCTGCAGTGGGCCGAGCAGCTGGAGAGGTGGCTGCCCTTCCTACGCCCCTCCCAGGTCCACATCGGTGAGAACCCTGCTCTCGCTGCAACCAGGTAACAAAGACCAGTGTTATCGAGAGCAACAATAGCAAGCTGTTGTGGGTGCTACCAGCAGCTGCCCTCTCCTCATTGTATGCCCGGTGTGCCTCAGGCTGCAGTGGGCCGAGCAGCTGGAGAGGTGGCTGCCCTTCCTACGCCCCTCCCAGATCCACATCGGTGAGAACCCTGCTCTCGCTGCAACCAGGTAACAAAGACCAGTGTTATCGAGAGCAACAATAGCAAGCTGTTGTGGGTGCTACCAGCAGCTGCCCTCTCCTCATTGTATGCCCGGCGTGCCTCAGGCTGCAGTGGGCCGAGCAGCTGGAGAGGTGGCTGCCCTTCCTGCGCCCGTCTCAAATCCACATCGCTAAGGCCCTGCCACTGCTGTGACCATCTTGATCCTTGCCAATATGTATTGCCTCTGTATTGTCCTAAACCCGAAACCCTGTATTGCCTCTGGCCTCGCCCCAACCATTTGATATTCACCATCAGTGCCTTCAGTGCTCAAGCACACGCGGTTATAAAGTTTGGAGATTCCTCGAACCACACTGCCTCCAGTTTTTGACCAGCGGGACGATCTTGTGGAGGACGAGGACGAAGGAAGCTGACACCGATGGTCACTTAAAGCACTGTTTGTTGTACGTAACATGATGCTACCTTTGCTCTCCGACCCCATTGACTGCCTGCAGTGTTTGGCCAGCGGGACGATCTTGTGGAGGAGGACCAAGGGGAGAGGGCGGTGGGAGCTAGCACGGATGGTCATTTGAATGAGCACACGGACAAGGGAAAGAGCACAGGTGAGGCGAATCTCGAGAGACAGCGAGATGAGTTAGCGGAGGTGGAGCAAGGGGAGAGGGCGGTGGGAGCTAGCACGGATGGTCATATGAATGGGCACACGGACAAGGCAAAGACCACAGGTGAGGCGAATCTCGAAAGGCAGCGAGATGAGTTAGTGGAGGTGGAGCAAGGGTAGAGGGCGCTTGGAGCTGGCATGGAATGCTGGCTTGGATGGTCACACGGACAGGGCAATGAAGCTTGGTGGGGTGAATTTTCACGTCCTTCACAATGGCAGGGCGGTTGAGACAAACATTGATGAGAAGGCGAGGCATCCTGGTGGTGGACGAGCCCTGAGCCTTCTTCTCCCTCACTCACCCATCTCAACCGTTCTGCTCCTCTCCCCCGCTTTTGTGGTAGCTCCAGCAGTGGTGATCACGTCGTTCACAATGGCAGGCAGGTTGATGATGTGAGGGGGGTGGGGCATGGTGGTGGATGGGTGGACCATTGCAGCCCAGAGCTCGCCTATCCCCCACTTACACCTCTCAACCCTCCTGCACCTCCTCTTCTCCCCCCACTATGGCAGCTCCAGCAGTGGTGATCACGTCCTTCACCATGGCAGGGCGGCTGATAAGAGGACATGACAGCAAGTCTCATTCCACTCAACACCCCTTTCCCCCACCCCCATCCGCTTTCCCAAAGCAGCTCCAGCGGTGGTGATCACGTCCTTCACCATGGCAGGGCGGCTGAGACGAACGCTGATGAGGAGGCGAGGGAGGTGGGGCATGGTGGTGGCGGACGAGGCACAAACCTTTCCCTTTTCCCACTTACCCCACTCAACCTCTCTCAACCCCTCGTATCTCCCTCTATCACAGCTCCAGCGGTGGTGATCACGTCCTTCACCATGGCAGGGCGGTTGAGACGAACGCTGATGAGGAGGCGAGGGGGGTGGGGCATGGTGGTGGTGGATGAGGCACATGTGTTGCGCACTGCCAGGAAACCATTCGACTGCTTGGAGGTATTCAAAATATTAAACCCTAAACCGTGAATACTTCAAACCTAGAGCGTTGAGGGGAAGGGAGGGGCACAAAGGGGGTGGGGATGGTGGTGGTGGATGAGGCCCACGTGCTGCGCGCTGCCAGGAAACCTTCCGATTGCCTGGAGGTGAGAGAACAAACCCTAAACCTTGTTGAGGTGAGAGAATGTTTTAACCCTATACCTCGAGACCCTGTACCTTCAACCTCTGAATCTTGAACCGGAAATCCTGATGGGGCATTGTAGTGGTGGACAAGGCTCATGTTGTGCTGCCTGCTGGCTGCGGACTGCCAGGAAACCCCTCGATTGCCTGGAGGTGAGAGAATATCTTGAACCGCCCTCAACCCGCTCTAAACCCGAATCTTGATGGGGAATGGTCAGTCAGCTCTTCAGAACCGTCCCTTTTTCGCCCTCACTTCTCTCTCCACCCTCCCTGTCCTCCTCCTTCCCCTCCTCACCTGCACTACCTCGGCTCAGACTCGAGTGGTGGTGGATGTGATTCGGCGCACCAAGCGAGCCGTGCTCCTCACCGGAACTCCGTCACTCTCCAGGCAAGTTCCCTTACTCTAATTTGAGGAGCTCTTGCCAGGCCTAGCTTAGTGTATCAACGATAGCACTGTGCTTTCTGACTGCTATTCACAGCTTCACCACACCATCTCAACTGCTGCTGCGGCTTCTGCTGCTGCTCAGCTTCCCAATCCAATCCCAGCTCGTGTCTTCTTGTTTCCCAGTCTCTCATGTCTGCCTTGCTGCCTCTCCTCCCTCCTTGATTCCCACTCTCAGCCTTCGAGATACTTCGTGCACCATCTCAACCCTTCCTCTCTTCTTTGCACCCTCTCTCCCGTAGCAGGCCCTTTGACTTATTCAATCTCGTCGACAGCCTCTGGCCTGGCCTGCTGGGCATGTCCAAGTACGAGTATGCTCACAATTACTGCGACAGGGGGAGGGACAGTAGGGACTTCTCACGAGGGATACGACTACGTGAGCTGCACATCCTGCTGTCCCACACCGTCATGGTGAGGAGTGGTGCAGTCATCGCTAGGAGGGGTATTCTCAGGTTGAAAGGGGTGCTCTCACACACCACTGGGTCGGCTTGGCATGTTCTAATGCAAGCTCGCATGCAACTATTGACCGGGGGAGGGACAGCAGGGACTTCTCAAGGGGGATTCGATTGCGTGAGCTGCACATCCTGCTGTCCCACACCGTCATGGTGAGGAGGCATGTTCCCAGGTTAAAAGGGGTGCTGTCACACACCACCGGTTCTGCTTGGCATGGTCCAGTGCAAGCTCACATGCAACTACTGCGATAGGGGGAGGGATAGCAGGGACTTCTTGAGGGGTATTCGACTGCACGAGCTGCACATCCTGCTGTCCCACACCGTCATGGTGAGGAGGGGTTTTCCCAGGTGCAGTGGGGTGCTGTCACACATGGTCACGGTGAAGAGGGGTGCGTCATGGTGAGGAGGGGGGGTGGTTGTGCTAGCCCATTCTGCCACCTCAGGACAGCAGGGAATTCCCAAGGGGCATTCGACTGCATGAGCCGCACATCCTGCTCTCGCACACCGTCATGGTGAGGAGCAGTGCTGCCACACACTGCTGTGGTGTGAAGCGGTGCTGTCTGTCATTGTGAGGGTCCTCTTGTTTGAGTTCCCTTCCAAGTTCCAAGGGGGGGGGCGGAGGGGGGGGGGGTGGCGAGCGCAAAGCATATTTCTAACATTAAAGGTATGTTCGAGTAATGCTTTATGTCAGATTACTATCCTCATTGTAACCTACATCAATCATATAAGCCTAGGTCAGAGATAGACACCCAAATTTAGTTTCGGTGCAGAACTAGGGTTAACCCTAGTTGGGGGTTGGATCTCAACCTTGGCCAAATTGCTTGGCCCCCAAGGCTGGGTTGGGAATTATTGGTCCCCCCAATAAATGTTGAACCACTTGGTCAACATTATTGGTCCCCCAATAATCTCTCAACCCAACTTATTGGTGGAGGGCAATAATGTTGGCTAGGTTCCCAACCAAACCCCTCATCCTAGCACTAGGTATACCCCATACTTCCTAATCAAGCTATCGGTTCTTCTTCATGTTTTCTCACATGGTATCAGAGCCACTACGGCTTACGCCTTTCTCTGATCCTAAGGACCTCACGTCCCGCGTGCCGTATCGCGCCCCCCTCCCTCACACGGCTCGTTGCCGCTCTTCGCGCCTAAGTTGCGCTATTACGCCTTCACGGCCCCCCTCCCCCCTCGTACTCACGCACTCTCCCGTGCCTCCCCCGCATAAGTTACGACCGGCAGCCCGCTCCCTCCCCCCTCCCCTCCCCTCTTTCACCGCGGCGCTTTCCGCCGACGAGGGCGGACGCGACCACCGCGGCGATTTCTGCCGACGAGGGCGGATGCGACCACCGCGGCGGATTCCGCCGACGAGGGCGGACGCGACCACCGCGGCGATTTCCGCTGACGAGGGCAGACGCGACCACCGCGGCGGATTCCGCCGACGAGGGCGGACGCGACCACCGCGGCGGATTCCGCCGACGAGGGCAGACGCGACCACCGCGGCGGATTCCGCCGACGAGGGCGGACGCGACCACCGCGGCGGATTCCGCCGACGAGGGCGGACGCGACCACCGCCGCGATTTCCGCCGACGAGGGCGGACGCGACCACAGCGGCGGATTCCGCCGACGAGGGCGGACGCGACCACCGCGGCGGATTCCGCCGACGAGGGCGGACACGATCACCGCGGCGATTTCCGCCGACGAGGGTGGACGCGACCACCGCGGCGATTTCCGCCGACGAGGGCGGACGCGACCACCGCGGCGGATTCCGCCGACGAGGGCGGACGCGACCACCACGGCGATTTCCGCCGACGAGGGCGGACGCGACCACCGCGGCGAATTCCGCCGACGAGGACGGACGCGACCACCGCGGCGGATTCCGCCGACGAGGGCGGACGCGACCACCGCGGCGATGTCCGCCGACAAGGGCGGACGCGACCACCGCGGCGGATTCCGCCAACGAGGGCGGACGCGACCACCATGGGCGCTCGCCGTGACCTCAACCACCCTGACAAGGGCGGACGACACAGTCGCGGGCGGATGGCGCAGCCGCGGGCGGATGGTGCAGCCGCGGGCAACAAAGCGCAGCCGCAAGCGAACGGCGCAGCCGCGGGCGACAAGGCGCAGTCGTGGGCGGACGCCGCAGCGGCGGGCGACAAGGCGCAGCCGCGGGCGGACGGCGCAGCCGCAGGCGACACAGCGCAGCCGCGGGTAACCCGGCGCAGCCGCACGCAACGTGACCGCACCACCCCTCTCGGTGGTGTCGTCTCCCCTCCTTGACCGCACCACCTCTCCAGGTGGTGTCGTCCCTCCCCCCCTCCTCCTCCGCATGGCGGACGATTCTACTCCTTTTGAGCTCCGAGCCATTGACAAGCTCGAGCTTCTCCATGACGCTACGGCCGTAAACTGGGCGTCGTTTGAAGACACACTTCACACGCACCTTGGCTCCGTCATCATTCAAGACTATTGCCTTCTTGATGTAGTCATCGAGCACCCTAATGGCCTCCCACCTGTTCTCCCCTCTCCTCTTGAACCTCCTCCCCCTGACGCCCCTCCTCTACCCGAGCCTCTTCCCGACCCCCCGCGTGCCCCAGTTCATGATGACAATCCGAATCGCTGGGGGGCCAACATGAACGAATACAACAAGCTTCGCGACACCTACACCCTCCAGCGTGAGGCGTACCGTGTTGCGGAAGAGGCACACGCTAATGCTACTGTACGCATCCTCTCCTACGCTCAAGATGAGAAAGACTATGCTGAGGAGTTTCGCAAGCTCCACAAAGATGTTGTAGCGTGGCGTGTTGCTGATCGTCGTGCACTCGCCATCATCTTCTCCTGCATCCCCTCTCGCCTCAAACGCGACCTTCGTCCCACCTAAAACCCTATCTACTCAGTACGATCGTCAGGATCTTCGCTCCCTCCTCGCACTCTTTCGCAAATTCCAAGACATCACCCTTGACTCCTCCCCCACTGCTGCGGCCTACACCCGTCGCCTCATTGACACTGCACAACGCCTCAATGAACGGAGCATTGTCATCTCTGAGTCCCTTCTCATTGCACGCATCCTCGACTGCCTCCCTCCCACATATGACACCTACCGCATCACCTTCACCTCCCGCCACCGTCATCCTCCTCCTGTGGCTGACACCATCGAGTGGCTACTTGACAGCGAAACGGACATTTAACGTGACTCTGCTACTGTCAATGCTGTCCAGATCCGCAAAGCTACCACAGGCAACCACAACAGCGGAGGAAGTGGCGGCCCAGGTAGCGTCGGCAGTGGTGGTGGTGGACATGGTGGTGGTCGAGGAGGAGGACATGGTGGTGGGCGAGGAGGAGGACGTGGTGGAAGCCGAGGTGGTGGCCGTGGTGGGCGTGGCGGACACCCCTCACCCTCGGGCACCCTCCACCCGTGTCAGTACATCATTCGCTATGGCTCCAACAAATGCCAGCCATGCTCACAGACCACTCATACCATTGACACGTGCTTCAAAGCCTCATTGATGAATGGTTTGACCGTGGCAATGTTGGCACCCCACCTCGCTGGAACACTGTTTTCCCACGCCCCTCTCCCCATGACATCCGCACTCTCCCCGCCTATCAACCCTCCACCCCCAACCTCCACAATGTCCTCACTCAACATCTCCCATCTCACATCCTTCAAGTCCAGCATCTTCTCCACTCATCCACCCCCACTCCCACTCCTCCTCCACCCACACCTCCGCCTCAAGCCCCTCCCCTTCACTACCCTCCACCCTATGCCGGCTGGCCTTACCCTCCTTACCCACCTCCTGGATATGGTCATGGACCTATTGCACCTGCTGCTAATCTTGCTGAACAGCCCTCCTCCTCCTCCAACCCTCTTGGCTTTACTCCGTTCCCCTCTGCTGGATTCATAGGACATGTTAGCACTGCTCCTGTTGATTCTCTGTATGCCCATGCTATTAATGATTCTCTCTTCCAGTACTCTGCCTTATCCTCCTCTTCATGCCTTGAGTTTATCCTTGACAGTGGAGCCACACACACTGTCCTTCGAGATGCAGGCACACTGGTACCTCTCCACACTCCCTCCACTATCCACGGAGCTGACTCCAGCTTCACCATCACAAGTCGACACACCTCCACCCTCCCTTGTCCCATCTTCCCCTCAGGTACAGTCACAGGTCTATACATCCCCTCCCTACGCAACAATCTGGTTGCACTGTGTGACCTCACCAGGTTCGGTATCACCGCCCTCTTCCCCGGTCATGCACGCCACTGCGACCTCTTTCATACCACCACTGGCTGCTTCATCTGTCGCATTCCCCTCTGCCCTCACACAAACCTGTACACATACCGCACCCCTCGCACCTCCATTCACCACCTCATCGCCCCCACCTCACCCCCTCTCCTCCCCTCACCTCCCTTCCCCCTTCCCTCCCCTCCCCTCCCCTCACCTCCCCTCCCCTCCCCCTTCCCTCTCCTCCTCCCATCCCCTCCCCCCCCCCTCCCCTCCCCTCCCCCCCCCCTCCCCTCCCCTCCCCTCCTTCCCCCCCCCCCCCCTCCCCCACCTCCTCCTGTCACTGTCGTGACCTCACCCACCCCGCAGTTCTCCTTCACCATAGGTTGGGTCATCCCAACTTTGCCACCCTCCGTCAAACTGTCTCTACTCAACTCCTCGACGGCCTCCCCCTCACCCTCCCCCCTCTCCCCCCATCACCCTCCCCTCCCTACTCAGTATGCGTTGAAAGCAAACTGAAACAGCCCCACCACAAGAGTCATCCCTCCTTTTCTCCCCAGCCCCTTGATCTCGTCCACATGGACCTCTGGGGCCCCAATCCTTCCCCCACCAGGCAAGGTCATAAATACCTGCTCATCCTGGTGGATGACCACAGCCGGTACTCCTCAGTCTCCCTCCTTCGCACGAAGGCGGAGGCCCCGGCTGCTATTATTGCCGGGGCCGAACAAGCACGCACCCACTTCAAACGCCCTGTCTCCCGCTTCCACTCTGATGGCGATGGTGAGTTCCTTAATAACATGCTCTCATCCTACTGCACCACTCATGGCATTATTCACACCTACACCCTACCTCATTCCCCTCATCAGAATGGCGTGGCGGAAAGCAGGGTCCGTGAGGTCACCAAGACTGCTTGGTGCCTCATGGTCCATGCCTCCTGCCCGCCCTCTCTCTGGGGCTATGCCATCCTCCACGCTGCCATCCTCACTAACCTGTACCCTCATCCCTCCCGGCCCACCACCACTCCCACTGCACTCTAGACGTCCAAAAAGCCCGACATCACCCCCCTACGCGTGTGGGGCTCCAAGGCGTATGTTCTCATACACCCTGTCGACTGCTCACGTAAAGCTGGGAAGCTAGCCTCCCGCACTCTCCCCTGCATTTTCCTTGGTCACAACACCTCCTCCCCGGACTATCTCTTCCTCCATCCCCCCTCAGGTCGCCTCATTCGTAGTCGGGATGTAGTGTTCGATGAAGCCCACCCGTACTAAACCTCTCCCAAAGTCCCTAACCCCCTCCCTCTAACCACCCGTCCCCTCCTCTGGACTGACACCATTCCCCCCCCACCCCCTCTCCCCTCCCCTTCCCTTCTCCCCCCCCCACCATTGTCCCCCCTGCACCCCCACCCCCTCCCCCCTCTCCCGCCGCCTCGTCAGGAGACATCCTTGACCCCGTCTACCCTCCCTCCCCACCCGCTGCCCCTCCCCCTCCCTCCCCACCCCCCTCCCCATCCCTCCCCACCCCCTCCCCCTCCTTCCCCTCCCTCCCTCCCTGCACAACATCCCCCACCTCCCCCCTCCCCACGCCCTCCCCCTCTCACTCCACCTCCATCCTCCCGGCCCCTACTTCCCACTCCCCCTCTCATACTCTGCCACTACCCTCACACCCGCTCCATGGTCCCCGTTCTTGGTACCCCAAGGTCCACCCCCCCCTCCCTCCAATCTCTCACATCCATCCCCCTTCTCCACCACCACAGCACCTCCCCTCTCCCCCGCACCAGCCCCTCAGGTTCTCTTTAGCAGTCGCGCTCCCGTCTCCTTGCCCCTCACGGCAACTCAGCGAAGCCGAGCTGCAATGCAGCTGTCTCCACGCCCCGACCCTCAGCGCAGCAGAGCACCAGTGTGTTAGAAATAGTCAGTCAACACTTTGTACTATATTCTATATCGGTTAGGTTACTTTGTAGGTTGGGTGTAGATTTGTAATCCCAACCCTATCTGGTTGGGATTCCTTCGTAATCCTGCAAATCTGCCAACTCACCAATTGGAGATTTGCTAGGATTCCCATCCCATCCTTTCCCTAGCTTTGCTCAACCCAACCCTGTTTGTACTTAAGGCCTAGTGCCTTCCTTATCAAGCAATCAGTTCAGTTCCAATTCTATCACAGTGCAGCTGTGTCCCCGCATCGGCCCGACCCTCCATCGCAGCTGTCTTGCAACTCCACCGCCTCCTCTTCCTCCTCCGCCCTCTCCGGACCTCTCAGAAGAGTCTCACGATGAGATTTCCATGCCCATATAGTTCGTCAGTTTCCCAAGATCCTTCATAGCCAGCTTCTCACCAAGTGCGGTTTTGACTGCTGCCAACTCAGTCTGATCCTTGGTGACAAAGATCATGTCATCGACATAAACCAAGATGAAGAAGCGGGATGGTGTTGCTCGGATGAAGAGGCTGGGGTCAGAGGTGGATGGGTGAAAGTCGAGGGACCCTAAGGTGCTCTTGAGCTTGTTGTGCCATTCCCGGGGTGCTTGCTTGAGGCCATAGACTGGTCGATTCAGCTTCCATACAGTGCCTGGTGGAAAAGGAGCTGGAAATCCTTCGGGCCGCTCCATGTAGATTTCCTCTCGAAGGATCCCTTGCAGAAACGCAGAGGACACATCCATGCAGTCAACGTCCATGTCATCTCGAGCGGCAACATCGAGAAGGGTGCGCAGTGTGGGAGGTTTGGCGGTGGGAGAGAATGTCCAGTCCATGCTTTTGGGTAAATCCCTTGGCACAGTACCGGGCTTTGAAGACGGGAAATTCGCCTGGAAGTTGTTTCACCCGGAAAACCCATTTCCCCTTCACAATGTTGACGCCGGAGGGAGGAGAGACATCTGTGAAAGTTCCTGTGTGAATGAAGGCCTCACACTCTGCGACAATGGCCCCTAGCCACTAAGCGGCGTGAGGACCAGAAACTGCTTCAGCATAGGTGAGAGGTGTGGGGATGGAGGGGTTGTCCGAGAAGTTGAGGGTGGGAGATTCTGCGATATCTGGAAAGAGGGAGCAGAGTGCGTGTATGGCTGAGTCAATCTCAATCAACTCCTCATGTCTGTCCTCAAGAAGGGAGGGCATGAGCGAATAATCACCTCCGATAGGAGGAGGATTGAGAGAGACACGAATGGAAAGAGAAAGAGGCTTGGGAGCTTTGCGCGAGCGGGTGCGACCAGCGATGGGGGAGGAAGGCGGAGCTGGAGGAGGAGAAGCAGCAGGTGTAGTGGCAGCATCAGGAACAGCAGCTGGATCAGGAGCAGGAGCTGGATCAGGAGGAGGAGCTGGATCATACTTGGTGGTTTTAGCGTCGAAAGCAAGCTTGGCTGTGGCAGTGGCGCCTTCGCCGAGAGGATCGGGAGGGAGAGGCATCTTCCCCTTGCCGCGATTGAGGAGGATGTCCTTGAGGCAAATCCCCTTGAGCTCCGAGCTAAAGAGGTGCTTCTCCACTCCATAGCACCACTCCCCGAAATTGGTGCTCGTGCCGTTGGGAGCGAGGTTAAGGATGATAAGGTTTCCGACGAGAGTGGAAGTTGAAGTTGCCATTTCGCGCGGAGCGCAGCGCTTAAGTCTCCGATACGTAGCGGAGCGGAGTTCGGGTGATTTTGGAAATTGAGGAAGTTCGAAACACGATTTTGGCAATAGAATGCCCGTACTATACCCTGATATACTGCTTCGCCAATGCCCCCTGTTCTGCTTCGCTGCTGACCTGTTCTGCTGCGCCGCTGGACCTGTTCTGCTGCGCCGCTGAACCTGTTCTGCTGCGCCGCTGAACCTGTTCCGCTGCGCCGCTGAACCTGTTCCGCTGCGCCGCTGAACCTGTTCCGCTGCGCCGCTGAACCTGTTCCGCTGCGCCGCTGAACCTGTTCCGCTGCGCCGCTGAACCTGTTCCGCTGCGCCGCTGAACCTGTTCCGCTGCGCCGCTGAACCTGTTCCGCTGCGCCGCTGAACCTGTTCCGCTGCGCCGCTGAAAACCTGTTCCGCTGCGCCGCTGGACCTGTTCTGCTGCGCCGCTGAAAACCTGTTCCGCTGCGCCGCTGGACCTGTTCCGCTGCGCCGCTGAAAACCTGTTCGAAGTTAAGAAGATGCGAAAATTGTCACGGAGATATAAAAACCAGAAGCTTACGATGAAGGAAGTCGAAAGCTGAGAATGTCGCCGTTGAAAAACGAGATGCGCGATGAAGGAAGCCGAATGCGCGCTTGACCGGAGCGACGATGTGAAGTTTCTGAAAAACGCTAAGCGTAGGAGCCGGGAACCGAAATAGGCATAGCCTAAAAGGAGAGAACCATCGGGACGCCAAGGATCGGATTCCGCGTGAGCGGAATTTACTAGCTCGATACCATGATGGAATTGGAACTGAACCGATTGCTTGATAAGGAAGGCACTAGGCCTTAAGTACAAACAGGGTTGGGTTGAGCAAAGCTAGGGAAAGGATGGGATGGGAATCCTAGCAAATCTCCAATTGGTGAGTTGGCAGATTTGCAGGATTACGAGGGAATCCCAACCAGATAGGGTTGGGATTACAAATCTACACCCAACCTACAAAGTAACCTAACCGATATAGAATATAGTACAAAGTGTTGACTGACTATTTCTAACATCGGGGACAATTTCAGGAACCTCGGGAGACAGGCAATCTGGCGAGGGCCAATCCAAGGCCCAGGCGGCTAGAGCTCAACCCAGCACGCTGAGTTACTCGCGACTGGGCAGCCAAGCACAAATAGCCTAGCCTAGCATAGCAAACCTGTTCTCTGGTCTTGTTCGCCTCATATAGTGGCCAAGTGTTACCGTTCTAAAGCTACTTAAGCTAGGTGACTGCGCCACTGTGGGCAGACTGCGTGTGGGAGCCTGAATCTCTCACAAGACGAGAGAAAACTCAGCAGTATGGACTGCAACGAGCTGCGCTGGCAGCAGATGAACTCGCTGCGGGAATTGTCGTCGTCGCCAAGGATGCGCTCATTAGAGCGTGGGAGATCGCGGACGCGTTCTCCACGAAGGGCGGCGTACCGCGCGGATCTGGTGACACCCGTGGGAGGACGACAAGAAGGAGGCGAGGCCAATCTGCACGTGCGGATGGAGCCCAGGCCTAGACCGTCCTGCAGCAATCCTTGGAATCTGGCAGGCGGCCAGCAAGGAGCGGGTGAAAGGCGTCGCGACTACGCGGGCGTGGCGGACTCGTAGGATTCGGCAAGCTAGGCCGACGGCGAGGAGGAGAAGGAAGGGGTTCGGAAGAAGAGTGCGACGACGAGAACAAGGACGCGGATGCAGATCGTGCACCAGAGGAGATGCGCGGGAGTGACGCAAGGCGCCAGGGGCAAATCGCGGATGCAGGTCGTGCGCCAGAGGAGATGCGTGGGAGTGATGCGAGGCGCCAGGGGCAAATCGCGGATGCAGATCGTGCGCCAGAGGAGATGCGCGGGAGTGGCGCGAGGCACAGCTGGAGCAAAGCTGCTGAGCCCTTGTCAAGGGAGCGAGGGGAGGAGGAGAAGAGCCGTGCTGCGCCAGCAGGAGTGTATCGTTCGCCCGAGCCAGGACAAAGCCGGGCGGGCAGGAGGCGTATGGCGATGGGAGGAAGGAGATCGCCGTAGTGGTCGGAAGAGGAGGAGGACGAGGATTATGAAGGAAGGCGCGTTCAGCACTCGCCAGCAAGGAGGCGGCGGCCGGAGGGGAAGGCGCGAGGCAGGGGTAGCGAACGTTCGTCACCCAGCGCCTCAGAGGTAGATGCGGGAGCGCGTCGTGAGAAAGCAGAAGAACACCTGCGGGCAGAGAGGAGGGCTGCAAAGGAAACAGGCGGAAAAGCAAGAAGGTGGCCCGATAGAGAGAGACGTGTGAGGAGGGGCGAAGGAGAGCAATACCAGCGGGGTGAAGAGGCAGGAAGGGAAGGAGAAACGGGAAGACGGGATCAGGAGCACCGAGGCTGGGAAGAGCGTGGAGATTACGAGGTAAGAGGCGGGTGGCGCTCACCAGAAAGAGAAAAGGAGCGCGAGGAGGACAGGCGAGGCAAGAGAGAAGGTGTGCGGTCACCAGAAGTCTCGAGGGCAGCAGAGAAGGAGCGACAGCGAGAGGACAGAGTGCGGCGGTACCAGGAGCGGTCCCCTGCAAGGGGAGAGAAGCGTCGGGAAGATGCAGAGAGGCGCTGGGGGGAGCGTGAAGATGCCCGAGGGAGGAGCCCCAGCCCGATGGGCCCGAGGAGGCCTGGGTCGGTGAAGGATCTGCAGGAGCAAGAGCAGCTAGGAAAGGCATAGAGCGAGTGCTGTACGGAACCTGCATGGGCAGCAGGGGAGAAAAGGAAAGGAGGAGAGGGGTTATGATGTCTGAGCGAGGAGGGACGAAGAGCTGGGAAACAGGGAAGTGGGGCGCAACAGCACAGCCGTGAGTGGAGGTGCCAGTACGCTTCACGGGAAACGAGAAAACCGGCCCAAGTCTGAAGAATTATTTGATGCAGATCAGCAATGTCAAATACCGATGCGACAGAAGCGGGATGGACCCGATCGAGTTTTTCCTGAGCCTGCCAAGCACGTTGGGAGGGGAAGCAGAGACTTTGTATCGCATGAAGATTGGTGAATGGCTGAGGAGGGCAGAAGAGGATGACGAGGACCCGACGGTACTGTTCCTGGAGCGACTAAGGAAGCAGTTCCCTGGGCATACGGTGGCGCGCATCAGGGAATTCCAGGAGTTTAGGCGGAGGGATGAGGAGTCACTGCTGACATACTATGGACGGTTAATGAACCTGGCGGAAGACGTGGTGTGCACGGACAGCAGCATGATCATTCGTAAGTTTCTGAACGGTTTAGACAAGGGATTGGCTGGAGGGTTGAGAATGAGAGTCTATGAGCTAGGAGCAGCTGCAACACCAGAGGAGGTGTTCGAGTTAATGGAGGATGGAGCTGGCGCAGAGGAAGTACAAGGTATACCTGCCGAGGACGATAGAGAAGAAGAGTCCTACCTGGGCAGCGGCGATGATACCAGGGGAGGGAGCAGGAGAAGAGAGCAGGCCGGAGAAAAGGACAGAGACACGCACCTGTTACCGATGTGGGCTGCCGGGGCACATAAGGATCCACTGCAGGAACTGCGATGTATGTGGGAAGCCTGGGCACCGCCGAAGGGACTGCCCGGAGGCACCGACATGTAAGGAGTGCGGAGAAAGGGGGCATGAGGCAAGGGAATGCGATAAAGGGGCAGGCGGAACAAAAGGGTCACCAGTGGAGATCAAGAGCCAGATAAGGAAGTTTCAGGTGCAGTTGCAGGCCCTGGGAGGGAGGAAGGAGAAGGAGGCTGGGTTGTACGCGAGGGAAGAAGGAGCAGAAGAGGAGGGGCAGGAGCCAGAGTACACATTCCTGGCCTTACGTAGCCGTGAGGAACTGGGTCGGCGCAGTGGGGGCAGAGATGGAAGAAAAGGGCGGGCGCTGAGAGGAAGAACAGAGAGGCAGGCGGGGTTGTATGCAAGGGAGGAAGAGGAGGAAGAGGAAGGGGAGCAGGATCCAGAATACTCCTGTGCGGTGCTGCGTAGCAGTGAAGCCATGGGGCTGCGCAGTGGGGGCAGGGACGGAGGAAGGGGGCGAGCGACGAAGGTGAGGGCATGGGCAGTGGCAGAAGGGGAAGAGAAGAACGAGAAGGTGAGGGCATGGGCAGTGGCAGAAGGGGAAGAGAAGGATGAGAAAGAGGGGACCTGGGCGTGCGTACCAGCAGCACCAGAAGCAGAGGAGAAGGACGAGCAGGTGGGGGCAGGAGTGGGTATACTTGCAGCAGCAGAAATAGAGGAGAGGGACGAAGAGGCGGGGGCCAGGGCGTGTGTACCAGCAGCAGCAGAAGCGGAAGGGAAGGGCGAGAAACAGGGAGCGGTGAGGAGGGGAGGGAAGACGGGGCTGAGCAGTACAGACATGGGAGGGAGTGGTTGGCAGCCATCGCTAAGGACAGCGGAGCTGTTCGGGGAAATCGGGGCAGGGGTGAAGACTGGTGTGACGGTGAAGGATTGGACGCAAGCAGAGGAGCGAGCGCAGGGAAATAAGCTGGCGGAGCAGCATGTGAGGAAGCTGCGGGGAGGAAGGCCAGAGCTGCTGGGGGAAGAAATGATAGAAGAAGCAATGAGAGGCAAGGCCCAGGAGCAGGAGGAAGCAGAGCGGGAGAGTAAGGAAGTGGGGGCATGGGAGCACCTAGCAGCGGGGAAAAAGGTAAACCATACAATGGAAGAGGCGGAGAATCGGGCGGCATGGTAGCAAGCTAAGGCAGCGGAACACTTGCAGGAGGTGATACCGGCGGCGGTGGAGGAGCTACATACCGTCCAGTTGAGAGATGCGTGCTGCTGTGAGCAGTGGCAGCAGCAGGAAGGCAAGGAGATCAAGGCGACTATAGAGGTGGGACGGGAAGAGAGGGGCAAAGAAGGATACATTAGATGTGGCATAGGGAAGAGTGAAGGGGAGGGCGCAAGCAGTGCGAGGCGTGGGAGTGCTCGTGCTGGAGAAGGAGAAGGGAGAACAGACCGTGGACCACCAGACCCGAATGGCAGGAGTGAAGTGCAGCCGTCCTCAGCTGAGAGTCCTGTGACTCGCGCCCGAGCAGCTCGAGCACAAGCACAGGAGGGGGCAGGTAGTGGCTGAGTACGAAGAAGGGAACAGGGAAGCAGGATTGGGGACAGCACAAGGTGGGGAAAGGCCAGAATAAGAAGGAAGGAAAGAAGGTGAGGACAGAAGGCAGGGAAGAGGCAAGGGCAAGAGATGAGTGAGGAAGGAGAGGGGAGTAACTCCGACATCTACAAGGCTCGATATGTGGCAAAAGGTTTCACATAGACCTATGGCTCAGACTTCTTCGAGACCTACTCACCCACCGCCACTCCGCCGGTCATTCGCGTGTTTTTGGACTTTGTTGGCAGACGCGGGATGATCCTTCACTCCATGGACGTCACCACCGCCTTTCTGCAAGGCGACCTTCATGAGCTCATTTTCCTGGAACATCCCAAAGGCTTCCACGCTCCTCACGACCCTGCCACTATTTGGAAGCTGCTACGCCCTGTCTATGGGCTCAAACAAGCACCTCGGGAATGGCCCGCCAAACTCTCCTCCACCCTTCGCGCACTTGGCTTTCGCCCCTCCCGTGCCGCCTCTTGCCTCTTCCTCCGCCTGACCCCATCACCCTTCTACATCCTCATCTACGTCGACGACATGCTGCTGGCCGCGGACACAACTGCTGAACTCCAGGAGGTCAAGGTTGAGCTGCAGAAACGCCTCGCCTGCAAAGACCTGGGGGAGGTCCGCAACTACCTCGACATGGAGATCACCCGCGACCTCACTGCCAAGACCACCACCCTCTCTCAGTCTTTTTACATCGAGAAGATTCTTGAGAGGTTTGGCATGTCCACCTCAAAACCCATCTCCACACCACTTGCATTCGGGCATCGGCTCTCCCCTCCCACCACTCCCGTCACCTCCCCTCATCCCTATGCAGAACTTGTTGGGGCGCTGATGTACGCCATGGTCTGCACTCGTCCCGACCTTGCATACCCAGTCAGTGTTCTGGCGCAGTTCGTTGGCACCGGCAAGCATGGTGACGAGCATTGGAAGGCGGCCATGCGTGTTCTTCGCTATCTTTGGGGCACGAAGGACCATGTCCTCACTCTTGGTGGTGTGAACCCGCCCATTCTTCAAGGCTTCAGCGACTCATCTTGGGCCGATGCACAGCCCGACCGATGCAGCTCCCAAGGATATGGCTTCACACTTGGGAGCGGCCTCATCAGCTGGCGCTCCACCCGCTCCTCCTCCGTTGCCCTCTCATCCTGCGAAGCCGAACTATACGCGGTCACGATGGCGGCTCAAGAGGCACGTTGGCTCAGCTATCTGCTCACCGACCTTGGCTCCCCACAGCCCTGCCCCACCCAGTGGTGTGACAACGACAGTACCATTCAACTCACCAAGGAAGCCGTCTTTCATGGTCGCTCCAAAAACATCGAGCTTCGCTACTACTTCGTTCGTGACCTTGTCCAAGATGGTCACATCACCGTTCGCAAAATCGCCTCCTCCGATAACCTCGCCGACCTCTTCACCAAGGCTCTCTACCGCTCTAACCACTCTGCGCTTCTACGTCTCCAGGGACTTGCTCCCCGCGATGGCTGATTCAGGGGTTGTTACTCTCTCTTCCCAAGCTTATGGATTTATGTAGGTTAAGGGGTTGTGTCAGATTACTATCCTTATTGTAACCTACATCAATCATATAAGCCTAGGTCAGAGATAGACACCCAAACTTAGTTTGGGTGCAAAACTAGGGTTAACCCTAATTGGGGGTTGGATCTCAACCTTGGCCAAATTGCTTGGCCCCCAAGGCTGGGTTGGGAATTATTGGTCCCCCCAATAAATGTGGAACCACTTAGTCAACATTATTGGTCCCCCAATAATCCCTCAACCCAACTTATTGGTGGGGGCCAATAATGTTGGCTAGGTTCCCAACCAAACCCCTCAACCTAGCACTATGTATACCCCATACTTCCTAATCAAGCTATCGGTTCTTCTTCACGTTTTCTCACACTTTAATGTATAAATGTATCTGTGGGCGTTTCAATGTGGCCTGCTGCAGATCCGTCGCCTCAAGTCTGAGGTTGCACTCCAGCTGCCACCTAAGCGCCGCCAGGTCATCAGGCTGCGCCTGGAGCCATCTGACGTGGCACTTGCGGTTCAGAGAGTCGCTGATCTGGCAGGGGGTGCTGCTGTGGCATATACAGACAAAAATTTCAAGGATGCGGATACAGACGAGGGAGAGGATAAGGAAGAAGACAATGAGGGGGACGATGGGAAGGAAGGGGGAGAAGGAGGAGAGGGAGAGGAGGAAATGGAAGAGGGTGAAGGGGGAGATGAGGAACAAGAAAGGGAGGATGAGGCAGCAGAGGGGAGCACCAAGAAGCCGGGCAGTAGAAGAGACTTGAGATGTCATACCACACACCCTAGAGGGAACAAGGGGAAGGTGCTGATGGCTGGAAAGACTGTGAGGGAAGGGGAGCGACCGGGCGGATTGAGTTTTGGAAATGTGGGGGTGTTAAGGGCTGAACTAGATGTTTTGCGTGGTGGTGAGGAAGTCGTGAGGGGTGGAAGAGGCCGGGGAAGGGACGGAAAAGGGAGTGTGAGAGGTGGAAGAGGGGGAGTAAGGGGTGGAAGCGGGAGGAGGAAGCATGGGGGAGAGGAGAGGGAGGGGCGGAGAGGAGGGAAGGTGGGGGTGGGAGGGTTGAGCCCCGAAGAACTTGGACTGGCCAAGATGAGAGGGGTGGAAGAGTGGTTGAGTCACTGCTCGGTTCTGAGGGGTTGGGAGAGGTGTGAGGAGGCCGGAGAGGAAGAGGGAGGAGAGGGAGGGGTGGGAGGCGAAGGGGAGGGATCAGGCGAGAGGAAGGAGGGGAAGCAGAAGGGGGGAACTGGACAGATGATTGAGAAGATGGTGATTTTCGCACACCACCACGTGGTGATGGACGCCCTACAGGCTGCTGTCTACCGCATTGCTGCTGCCAGCATTCTGCGGGGCGGGGATGCGGAGGAGGGGAAAGCTGAGGCCGGAGGGAGTGAGGAGGGGGCGGAGGCTGAGGAGGTGGAGGGGAGTGCGATGGCAGAGGGAGAGGAAGAGGAAGGAGTGGTCGAGATTGGAGGTGGGGATGCGGGGAGCAGGGGAAGGAGGTACGGCGACCCTGCCGAGCCTGCGTGCTGTACCAAGTCTGCCGAACCTTCCAAGCATGCCAAAGCTGCTATGCAGTTCGAGTTGGTTCGGGTGGACGGCACCACGCCTCCTCTGGAGCGGGCCGAGGCTGTCAAGCGGTTCGCCACTGAACCTCAGGTCCGGGTGGCCATAGTGGGCGTGACGGCGGGCGGCGTGGGCTTGGACTTTAGTGCGGCGCAGACGATTGTGTTTGCGGAGATCCCAAGGGCGGCAGCAGATCTGCTGCAGGCAGAGGACAGGGCGCACAGGCGGGGGCAGAGGTTCCCTGTCAACGTGGTGGTGTTCTGTGCTAAGGTGAGTGATACTTTTGCTTCCTGCCTCAAGGTAGTGAGTGGCATATCGGTGGTTTGTTGCTACGCAGAGGACAGGGCGCACAGGCGGGGGCAGAGGTTCCCTGTGAACGTGGTGGTGTTCTGTGCTAAGGTGTGCTCCCTTGCTTTGTCTCCCGCAACCTGAATCTAAGTGCCAAATATTGATGGGACGTTTGTGCTTGTGGAGATGTCGAGGGCGGCACGGCACCAGATTTGCTGCAGGCAGAGAACATGTTTGAGTCACTTTTGAGAAACATATTTGCTACTCACAGAGGATAGGGCGCAGAGGATAGGGCGCAGAGGATAGGGCGCAGAGGATAGGGCGCAGAGGCCTGCTAACTCCTCTCTTCCTCTTCTGCTCATCTCACCATCCAGGACTCTCGGGGCGAGACGGCGTGGCAGAGGCTCTGTTGCAGTGCGGAAAGAGTGTTGGCTGCTGTGGATGGGGGGAAACCCGCAGGAGAGAGGAAGGGAAGGAACGGGACTATGGGAATCAGCTCGTTGTAACTGTTGTCTCTACTCTCTGCCCCCTCCCCCATCCAGGACTCTCGGGATGAGACGGCGTGGCAGAGGCTGTGTCGGAGTGCAGAGCGCGTGTCTGCTGCTGTGGATGGGGGGAAACGGCAGGAGGGAGGGTTGATAGTAGACAGTGTTGTTGACGGGTCTGCTGTGAAACGAGGGAGGACGGAGAGAGGGGTGGGGGGAGTGGGTAGGCAGGAGGGGCGACTGTTAGTGGATAGCTTTGCTGACGTGGCTGCTGTGGATGGGGGGAAGCAGCAGGAGAGAGGGTTGATAGTAGACAGTGTTGTTGACGGATCTGCTGTGAAACGAAAAAGGACGGAGAAGGGGACGGAAAGAGACGAACCAGGAGAGAGAAGCAAGAGGGAGGAGGATAGGGAAGCAGAGGAGGGCATGGGTGGTAAGGAGAGCAAGGAAGCAAATGTCAAGTTGAACAGGCCACCAGGGGAAGACATGTGCGGCTATTATCGTGGCACCACTTGTGTTGATAGCGGTGGGCAAGTGGGATACAGCGGAGACCAAGTCACCGGTCAAATGGAACGGAACTATGCACAGGGAGATCTGACGCAGTCAAATCACTGTTGTGCAGACTCCAGGGGGGGCAGGGTGGAGGAGGAAGAGGAGGCGGAGGAGGAGGCAGATGGACCGGAATGGGCGCAGATTAAACCAGATGACCTGCGATTCGAGGTGATTTTCTCTGTACATGCCTTGTTTTTGTCCATGCTTCCTTTTCTTTCGAAGCTTGTTTAGTTGTTTTCTTCCTTGTGTGATTTTTGTCACATGTCCGTGTGTGCCTGCCTTGTGTCATACCATCCTTGCATGATTCCTTCCTACCTTGCATGATTCCTTCCTACCTTGCATCTTTTCCACTCAAATCTGTGCTTGTGATTTCCCTACGTTGCGAGTATGCTTGCAACGTGTATACGTACCATCTTACAATCCATTGCCATGCCTTGTTCCACACGGGCAGGATCCATCTGTTCTGCAGCCATCCTGACCGTCCATTCGGCCCAGTTCCACTCGAGCAAAACTTCCATCCAGAAGATCTGGACCTCGTTATAAGCAACCCCCTTTGTGTCATAGAAAGCAAGAAGGAAGGTTCCTCTGCAGCTTCCCCCCAGCTCGTGGATTCAGAGGATCGCATGCCGCCAATCCTGCGGCGACACGTGGCGCTTCGAGAGGCCGCCAGGTCATTCGTCAGCGAGTGGGGGGCGCTGAAGCCGCAGCACCGGAGGAAGCTGCTTGGAAGGATCCTGGCGCTTCCTGTGGCGGAGGAGCTGGAGCGAGTGCTGTTCCCCCTTCCCTTCAGTGACGTCATGGTGAGCCTTCAGTGACGTCATGGTGAGAGGTGTTGTGGTGATAGGTGTCGTGTTATGGTGATAGGTGTTATGGTGATAGGTGTTATGGTGATAGGTGTTATGGTGATAGGTGTAATGGTGAGACGACTCGTTTCCGATAGTGTTTGCCTATTGGGAGCTGAGCAAGTGCTGCTCCCGCCCCGCTCCCTTTCAGCAACGTTATGGCGAGAGGTGTTGTGGATATGTGCATTGAAAGAGTAACCCCAAATCAAGCCCAATTTCTTCCTGTGTGTGCTGTTGGCAGGGCATGGCAGGGACGTGTGGCAGCAAGAAGAGGTGGGCAACGAGAGGGGATATACTCGCTGGTGCTAGAGAGGGAAAGGGAGTGGGTGGTGGAAGCACAGGTGGGTCAGGAGGAACAGCCGGAGGGCCATCAGCGGATGGAGGAGGAAGAGGAGTGGTGGTGGAGAGGGAAATGAGGGCGGTGAGGGTGCATGGGCGGGGCACTCACATGCGAACAGAGTGGCAGCTGTGGGGCCTACTGGCTGCTGGTGCTGCTGGTGATGGTGATGGTGGTCGTGGTGCTGCTGCTGCTGCTTTGGCCTTGCCAGGAGGAGTAACAGTAGGAGAAGGTGGAGAAGCAGCAGGAGTAGCAGGAGTAGCAGAAACGGCAGGAGCAGCAGCAACAGCAGGGGGAGAGACAGGCACAGTGAAAGCAGCAGTTACAAGTGGAGCAGTGGTGGAGAATGCAGAACAAGCAGAATCTGGGCCAGGGGCAGAGGAAGGGGAAGGGGTAAGAATGGAGACTGGAGAAGCAGCAGCTGCAGGGGCAGGGGCAGGGGCAGGGGCAGAGGCAGGGGCAGAGGCAGAGGCAGGGGCAGGGGCAGAGGCAGGGGCAGAGGCAGAGGCAGGGGCAGGGGCAGAGGCAGGGGCAGAGGCAGAGGCAGGGGCAGGGGCAGAGGCAGGGGCAGAGGCAGAGGCAGGGGCAGGGGCAGAGGCAGGGGCAGAGGCAGGGGCAGAGGCAGAGGCAGAGGCAGAGGCAGAGGCAGGGGCAGAGGCAGGGGCAGAGGCAGGGGCAGAGGCAGGGGCAGAGGCAGAGGCAGGGGCAGAGGCAGGGGCAGAGGCAGGGGCAGAGGCAGGGGCAGGGGCAGGGGCAGAGGAAGCAGAAGCAGGTCGTGCAAGCATTGACCACTTGCAAACTGCCACTTCTGGTCCAGATCGTGTCTCCGCCAATGAGATTGTGCCACGTGGCAGCAATTGCTGGGTCCCTCTCTGCCGCATGTGTGGTCAGATCTGCCAGTGAGCCACTCCTTTAGAAGCATACCCTTGATTAGCTCCCTGCATTCGTCCCGTCTTTGATGCTATTGATATGTGTCTCTCCCTGCTGTGAGTGAGATGCACGTGTTCTAGCATCCCCTTTACTAGTGCTTTTGTGGAGACCCTTTCCTCACACTTTCCTCTCCATTTCCCCTCTTTACAGCCCACCTCAATACACTGTCACTCATATCCCCATTCTTCTTTCCTTTTTTTTATCCCTCACCAGGACTCATGCAGCAAGGGCGCCAACAGTGCCACGCCATCTCTTCTGCTCCAATTCCTGCTTCTCCACCTACCGCCTACCTCCTCCTCACCCTCCCTCTCTCCCTTCCTGTGTGAATGCGCCTCTTACCAGGGCCCATGCAGCAAGGGCGCCAACAGTGCCACGCCATCTCTTCTGCTCCGACTCCTGCTTTTCCACCTACCGCCTACCTCCGCCTCACCCTCCCCTCTCTCCCTTCCCATGTGAATGTGCCTCTCACCAGGACTCAAGCAGCCAGAGCACCCACGGTGCCCCGCCATCTCTACTGCTCCGACTCCTGCTTTTCCACCTACCTCTCCTGCACCTCCCTCTCCTTCCTTCGCCAGGTAATTTAGTCCTGCTTCTCTCCTCCAGTTTTGGTTTGTCACACATTTCCATCATCCCCTCTCCCCCTTGCCTTCTCCACCTACCTCTCCCACACCTCCCTCTCCTTCCTGCGCCAGGTAAGATGTCCCCTCTGCTTCTCTCCCTTGCATTTGGTTTTTCAAAAGTCGCCATCGTCCCCCCCTCCTCTTACCTCTCTTTCGTCCCCCCCCCTCCCTTACCTCACTTTCGTGCACGTCCCTCAATCTCGGCCAGTCTCTCGTCTCTCTTCCTCCCCAAGCCATTGGGTTCTGTCTTTCCTCCTCTGCACTGTCACTCCCGCCACGTCTGGAATTATTTGCAGTGGAACGAGGCGTGTGTGTCACATGCAACCTCGACTGCCATGCTCTGGTCTCGGCCATCAGGGCTTTGCCTCCTGCTGACTGCTCTGGTCTCTCCCATTCGCTCCCCCCCTCCCCTGTCCCACCACCTCAGGAGCTGTTTTCCCTCGAGCGTGGTGTGTGTGTGACATGCAATCTGGACTGCCACGCTCTCATCTCGGCCATCAGGGTGCTGCCCCCTGCTGATCGCCGTCGGGTGATCCTGCACTGGGCGCCCCACTTTGCCAAGTACCCCAAGCTGTGAGTGCAGTGGTTCTGTGTGGTGCAATGCAGTCTTCTACAGTGCTGTGCCATGCTCTCGTCTCGGCCATCAGGGTGCTGCCTTTGCTGACCGTCGCCGAGTGATCCTGCACTGGGCGCCGCACTTCGCCAAGTACCCCAAGCTGTGAGTGCGGTGCGATTCTGAGTGGTGCAGTGCGGTGCTGTGCGGTGCTGCGCTCTGCTGTGTGGTGCACTGCGGTACTGTGCTGTGCTGCGCTCTGGTCTCAGCCATCAGGGTGCTGCCCCCTGCTGACTGTCGCCGAGTGATCCTGCACTGGGTGCCCCACTTCGCCTAGTACCCCAAGCTGTGAGTGCGGTACAGTGCGGTGCAGTGCAGTTCTGTGCTCTGCTGTGCTGTGCTCAAAGTTATCCTTTCCCATTTCCCTCCCATCATTTTCCCCTCTCCCCACTTCCCTCCCGTCCCTTTGCCCACTGCCCTCAAAACCCTCTCCACTCCCTAGGCTGCAACGTTTAATTGACGTTCCCACGGAAGGCAACGCGTGGCATGCAGACCATAAAGTCGCCGTGGCGGAAGGGGGTGGCGAGTGCGGAGTGGAGAATCTGCGCACGCTCTGTGTGGCGTGCCACCTGTCGCACACTAACCTCCAAAAGCGCCAGTGGGCTGAGTCGCATGTCCCTGCCATCCTGTTCCCCTTTCTCTCCCATCCCTCTCCCCATTCCCCTCCCATCCCCATCCCCAGGCTGCAGCGACTGGTGGACCTACCCACGGAGGGCAACGCATGGCACGCAGACCATAAAGTGGCCGTGGTGGAGGGGGGCGGCGAGTGCGGAGTGGAGAATCTGCGCACGCTCTGTGTGGCGTGCCACCTGTCGCACACTAACTTCCAAAAGCGCCAGTGGGCTGAGGAGAGGCGGAGAGCGAGGGCTGCTTTGGCTGTATTGGAGGCTAAGAAGAGGGGAGAGGAGGGAGGAGGGGAGAGTGGAGAGGGAGGGGAAGGGGGTGGGAAGAAGGGAGGTGGGAAGAAACGGGGTGAGAAGAAGACTGGTGGTGGTTTGGGTGTGGGCAAGGGGGGTGTGAAAGGGAGGAAGAGGAGGAGAGAGGAGGAGGAGGGTGAGGGGGATGGAGAGGGAGGGAAGCCAGTACAGGAGAGAGGAAGGAGGTGCATCGAAGGAAGGAGGAATCAGGGAGAGGGAGGTGCAGGGATGATAGGTGATGGTGGGGTGAGGAAGGAAGGACGGGAGAGGGAAGAAGAAGGGCTCGCAGGTGGTGACAGGTTCAAAGGCGAAGGTTGGGAGATGGAAGAGGAGGCCCAGAGGGAGCAGGAAGGGAGCAGGAAGGTGGCAGCAGAGTGTGTCAAACCAGGAGGAGGGTTGACGGTTTTCGACTTCTTTAAGCGAGTGGAAGGTGGTGGTGACTTGAGAGGTGCTGACAGGCTGAGAAGACGTGTAGATTCAGGAAAGTCAAGCGAGGCAAGAAAGTCAAGAGAGTCAATAAGACAGTTGAAATGTTCAAGAGGGCGAGAAGGAGGAAGTACAGGTGAAGGATTGGGAGGACGTGAGGGATCAAGGCTGGAGAGACAGTCAGGAGTGATAGGTGGAGGGGCTGTTGCGGGACACGGTGGCACTGGGGCGGCAGAATGCAGCAGTGGGGCGGCAAGTGGGGCGGCAGGAGGCAGCAGTGGGGCGGCAGGGGGGGAGGCTACAGCGGCAGGAAGCGATGCTGCAGGGGTAAGCTTGCGTCCGCCCAGGGAAACTCTGGGTCTGCTGAGCGAGGATGCGGAGATGGATGCCTTGCGGTGGCTCTTCCGACCAGTCGTTAATGCTGTCCGCTCACCTCGCCCCTCGTTTCCAGAGGCGCCGCATACAACGCTCACGAACGATCTGTGTTCAGGAGGGAGGAAAGGAGTTGTTAAGGAGAGAGGAGGGAGTAGGGACGGAGGGGGGGAGAGGAGGCATGAGAAGCAGGCAGGAGTGTGCGAGGTAGTGGAGGAGGACGGTGGGGTGCGAGTGACTGGTGTCGATGTGGTTGATTTGACAGGGCATGAGGATGCTCAAGAGGGGGAGGACGGTGAGGAGAGCGAGGACGCTGGAGGCAAGGGAAATTTGGGAAGCAAGTTAGCTTTAGGAAGCAGCGGAGGTTTGAGAAAGGAAGGATCGGTAAGTGTCAGACTGGGTGAGGAGTGGAGGGCAGTGGGAAAGGAAGTGAGGCTTGGGGAGGACGTGGATGATCACGTGGCAGATGTGGCAGATGATGTGGCACATATGGCAGACGTGGCAGAGGATAAGGAGGAGGAGAGAGACACTGCTGCACAGAAGGAGATCAACAGAGGGGGTGCTGGTGCTCTCACAGGCGCACACGAGGAGATGAGAGGAGGAGGAGGAGCAGGAGAAGGAGGTGAGAGAGGGAACTTTGATTCGAGGTTGAGAGGGGGAATGCGAGAGGTCTGTGGGGACGGTGTGGGGGTAAGACAAGAAGCAGCAGTAGGCGGGGTTTGGTTTGACGCGTATGCTCACCAGAAGTCAGGTGATAGGCTGTACCACAAGGGAGGTGATAGGCAGGGGACGGTGAAAAATGGGAAGGTGAAGGTGAAGGCGAAGGTGAAGGTGCAAGCACAAATGGAGCGGCCAATGGGTGCAAGTGAGGTTGGTAGAGAGGCGTTGCCTGATATGGGTGGGATTGATGCTCAAAGGAAAAGGAGGCGGGGCTGTGTTACTGAGAGAGAAGGGGAGCTAGATAGCGTGAATGCATCACAATATCACTTGACTTCTGACAAGACTACTGTTGCTTCTGGAACCTCCGAGAGGCGGAATGCCACTAGGAAGGCTGGATCGCGGGCGAGAAAAGCGATTGGTGGTTGTGAAGGGAAGCCCTTCAATGCACTTCAAGGTGGGATAAGTGTTTGCGAGTCAAATGAGTTGGCGTCTAATTTTGCTTTTGAAAGGTCGAGTTTGCATAGAGTTGCTGCCGCCGAGGCAGCACAAGTTGATAGGGCTAATCCGGTGATTATTGGACAGGTTAGAGAAGAATCAAGGATGGATGGGCTTATGAAGATGTGGAACCATATAGCAAAAATATCAAGAGGATCCTCTTTCTGAGATAAAGCTCTGGTTTATTTTTGTTATCCGCAGTGGATAGGTAGGAAGGACATTTTGAGTCTCGAGGCTTTATATCGATGCGAGAAAATCGTAGAAATTCGTCCGAGTCGTGTGGTGGCGTGAGGTGCAGTCGTGGTGACCAGAGGCCAGTTGTTGAGGTTGGCGAAAATGTTATAGTTACAAATCACTCTTTTGCGAGGAGTTCGCCACGCAGGACACGTCGCAAAAACTCATGGGGAACCCACCTGAAACGACATCCACAGGTCCAGCGACGTCCGTGTGCATGGGCTAACGAAACGGGCGACGTTCGCCAAAGAGCAAAGGGAGCTGTCGTCACATAGCTTGGTGTCCCCAAGAACTGGACGGGTGGTGAGGGATTGGCAGAGGGGAAGGGAATACTGTAAATAAATGGAAGCCACAGCTTTGAGAGAATAGATAAATGTCTTGCCTTGGCGATTGGTCGAGGCATTTGGTCCGTAGTATTACAGTTGGTCCTTACCAATTTGCTACCATAGCTAGAATAGAGCGAAGATTTTCGACAGGTGGGTAGTGCGTCGTTTTTTGACGACCAAAAATAGCCGTGATGTAGGTGCTGTTTTGTTATCAGTACAATACTTATTCAGCGGTTCTTGCAATGACCTGACATTTTGTTGTCGACTGAAGAAACGCTGAGAGTTACAGCGGTCCCGGCAGTGTGGACACGGCGGAATGCAAGTAACGACTTATGAGGCGCCTCAAAAAGTAGACGCTGAGACTTTCAGCGGTTCCGGTAGTGTGGACACGGCGGAACGCAAGTAACGGCAACGGCGGAACGCACGGCTGGCGGAGGAAAGCACTACCGGCGGAGGCGGAAGCGGAAGCGGAGGGGGGAGCTTCCGCATCCTCCCGTCGTCCCTGCTCTCCTTCGCCGCGCCCCCTGTTGATTCCCGGGTTTCCCGGGACTCCCGGGTCAGTGGCAGAAGCAGCGGCAGAGCCCCGTCGTGCATCAGTCTTAGCAGCGGCAGCAGCAGCAGCAGCCGTCTAAGCGGGCGGTTCGGCAGTCAACGCAGTCAACGCAGCAGTCAACGCGGTCAACGCGAAGCCATGGACGGATTTTCGTCATCGGAGGAGGAGATGGAAGACGAGGAATTGGACGATCTTGCTAATGAGCTTATAAACGGACCGGGCGCTAAACGGGACAGCACGGCTGCTTATAGCGGGGCTGCTGCTACCAGCGGAGGGAAAGCTAAGTTCTTTTCGTATTCCTCTGCTGTCGCGAGTCGCGTTACGACGCACGTCAGGCGGCTTAGTCAGGTGCGCTTCGGCGGAGGTAAGGATCGGGAGGGCGAACCCGAGGCCGCGTCAGCTTCCTCCGGTGCCACGTCAGCGGCGTCGCCGTCCGCCATCGCGGCCGCTCAATCAAACTCTGGAGCAAACAATCTGTCCCGGATTTTCCGCCGTGTTTTCCGGCGACCTTTCGGCGCATCCTCCTCCTCCTCTTCCGCGTACGAAATCGAGCTCCCCCCTCTTCCTTCCGACATTCCCCCGCAAATGAACGGCGGATACGCGTCCCTGGACGATCCAACGGCTGGGAGCGCGCCGATCGCGTATCTGACGGACGATCTGCTCTTGGAGTGCCTGGCGCGGGCGGATCGGCGCGCTTTAGGCCCGATGCAGCACGTGTGCCGCACGTGGCGCGGAATCATTCGCACGGACACGTTCCGCGAATACCGGGAGGCTTTAGGGCAGATGGAAAATCACTTAGTGGTAATTAGTAAGGGGCAGACCGCGCAGTCTAAGGTGCTAATTCAGACATACAATCCAAAGCTAAACTCCTGGTCGTGGGTAGTGTTTCCAGACGAATCGGTAGCTATAGACGATTTTTCCCAGTGTTGTGCTGTATCAAACCGTATTTTCCTGTTTGGAGGCTTACTCGCTAAAGGCCGTCCCCCTTTAGTGTACGACGCGTGGACGAACTCCCTCTCCTCTGCTCCGCCGCTGCAAATCCCCCGGTTCAAGTTCGTTTGCGGGCAGTGGAAGGGGAAAGTTTTTGCCGCGGGCGGCGTTCGGCAGCAGCCATTGGAGGAGGGCGAGGAGAAGAAGGACCTCCGGGCAGCTGAAGTTTTCATTCCGGAAGGGCAAGGGCGAATGATAGAAGAGGAGGGGGGGAACGTGGGGGGAAAAGGAGAGGCAGAGGCGGAAGCAGAGGCAAGAGAAGACGTAGGGGAGTGGGAGAGGAGAAGGCGCAGAAAAAGAGGGGGTTATTGGGAATTAGCCCCTGAAATGAACAGGGTGCGCGTGGGGGCGGTAGGGGGGTGTGTGGGGGGTAGATTGCACGTGATTGGTGGAACCCGGAGCAGTCAGCAGTTCAGGGCCGGATCTGAGGCGCTGAGCTTGGAGGTTTTCCACCCCAGGTCCCGAACCTGGGAGGTTCGGGAGCCGATTCCGAAGCTGGGAGTCGCGCTAGGCTCAGCGGTCCTCGGTTGCTACATTTTCATTCTCAGGTATGTCTTCCCTCTTGTCTGTGTGCCACTGTCCGTTTCGCTTGGGTTTTGTCTCCTTTCCCTTTAACCTCCATTTTCACTTTTGCCTGCATTTCTCTTTCCACCGTCCCTCTCCCCATTTGTTTTGCTTTTGATATTTACCTTCTCCCGCATTTCCCCTCGCGTTTCACACACCAGTTCCCCCCTTGGCTAGTCACATACTCCCTCTCACGTGCCTGCCCTGTTCCACCCACTGCCACTTTCTCTTCACACACAGAGGAGCACACAACACGCTGTAGACCCGACAACAATCAACACATTGTTACGTGCATGTGAGACAGAACCAAACAACCAAACCACCTCATGCTTTGGATCCGGTCGAGCATGCCATTCCCCCCTGGTTTCCGCGCAGGTGCATTGAGTCCGGACAGATTTCGTTCGTGCGGTACGACACCCGCGGGAACGAGTGGAAGGACATGCACCGCATGCCGTACGTCCCGCCCTCCGACCCCATGATACTTAGCAAAGTGTCGTTTAGGTGCGTTGCCACGCGAACCAGGGTGCTGGTAGTGCAGGTGCGGGGCACATGTGAAGACATGGGAATCGCTTCGTTCGCGGCTAGTGGGCGTGAGGGGAGAAGGGGAGGGGAGGGAGGGAGAGGTTGGGGAGAGGGGGCGAGGGGTGGGGTAAGAAGAGGCGAAAGAGGGGCGGCAGAGGCAGGAGATGCAGCAGGAGTGACGGTAGGAGAGGGCGGGGGGAGAGAGGCAGGAGGGGCGGCAGAGGAAACGACAAGAGAGGTAGCAGCAGAAGGAGCAGAAGAGGCAACAGGCGATGGGACGGAGGAGGCAACAGGAGGAGCCGCAGGAGGGGCGGCAGAAGGAGCAGCCGGGGAGGCAGGAGAAGGAGCACTAGGTGGAGCAACAGAAGAGGCAGCAGGCGAGGAGACAGGAGAGGAGGCAGGAGAGGTAGCAGGAGGTAACACCGCCAATGAGCCAATAGCACCTGAGACTGCACCTGAGACTGCACCTGAGCCTGAACCTGAGCCTACACCTGAGCCGACACCTGAGCCTGAGCCTACACGGGAGTTGCTGCATGAAGGTCCGAGGGAAAGGGGGAGAGGAAGAGGAGCAAGAGGAGGAACAGGAGGGAGAGGTGGTGGGAGAGGGGTAGGAGGCAGGGGAGGGAGAGGGAATGTTGCAGGAGGGAGAGGGGGAGTGGGGGGGAGAGGTGGGAGGGGAGGAGGGAGAGGAGGAAGGGGCCGAGGGGTGGCTGGAGTGGCGGTTGGTGCGGTGAGCATGGTGGGATATAGGTTCGGCGCCCTGGCCCTCATGTACGAACCTGAGGCTGAGGCTCGGGGAGGTTTGGTTTGGCGGCGGCTGCCGGACATGCCGTACGAGACGCCTGGTGCAGTCTGTGCTATGCTTCGGTGTTGATCTTGGTTGATGCATCTGTTTTGAGTACTGCACACATTTGGCGTGTGTGGTTACCGTAGATAGGAATGGCATTGTGCCCTTCGAGTTAGACATGATTTTCGTATGATATCTACCGTATGTTGGTTGGCAGCAGGCCTCACGTTTTCAGAGTAAATTACTCTGTTTCTCTGAAAATCAGAGTCATTTTTGAAAGTAACTCTGTACCCGCTGGGTATTTTTTTTGGGACTTCCGATTTCTCTGATTTGTCAGAGTTATGCTGTAGTTTACTCTGAGGCCTCTGGGTTTTTTTTTCGGGGACCGAATTTACTCTGTATAGGAAAACCTGCTGGCCCCCCTCCCCCTCCCCCCTCCCCTCCCCACCCCCCCCTGCGTTTAGCGGGTTTTCCCCGAATCGTCGAGATCATTCTCCTGATTTCTGTCGTGTGTTGGCGGCAATATGAGCGCTGATTGGCTACCGTAGTTTGACAACTTTCCCAACCAGCGCACGATGCCAGCCAGTCCCCTCTCTCTTTATGTCTGAAGTGAACGTCGACGTTTCCCGACGAAACTTTGAGGGACGTCCAGGAATCCTGACGGTCGGAACGCTCAATCCGAGGGTTGAGATTCGCCAGCATTCCCCGACGAAACTGTACATCCGTCGACATTTCACTTCAGACACTGTACTGCCGCCAACACCTCACTCTGAAACATCGCAGTGAGGGGGGAAACGTGGGCGACGCGGAAATGAAACACAATGCAAGTACAAAAGGCGTAACAAAAACCTATTAAGGTCATGGTACACCAAACTTAACTAACATCAGAGTAGAGAAAAATATTACTCTGACGTGCCTGGGTTTTTTTTTGCAAGTATAGGGTTACTCTGACAAATCAGAGTAAGGCGCAAGAACAACCCTAGATTTCAGAGTTGGGAAAAAAACTACTCTGGAAATCAGAGTACCTAAAATCCAAAAATAGGCCCTGGTTGGCAGTACCATAGCTGGGTCGGTAGATGTGTTTATTGTACGGTAGTAGGTTATTGAAACCAGGGTCTCACGTAGATCATTTGTTTTGCAGTTCATCACTTCACCTTGGTTGGGATTGGTTGGCGAGGTGTAAAGAAGAATGACGGGCGGTGTGACGAGGGGAGCGAAGGAAACACAAATCGCAGTTTGTGTCCGAACCATCTAGGCACGGAAATTGGTTCGGTGCCAAAGCTAGAACACCAGCAAAATGTTCGAGCATCCTGTCACTCTCATGTACCCATCAAAATGTTTTGCAATTGAATGAGGCAAAAACGGGAGGTGTCTCACAGTCAATTCCCAAACCAACCCCTAGACTTCGCCACCTCAAACAGGGTGACGAAGCTTCAATTGTTTTGCAGTTGATCACAATTTCTCTGACGTGAGACCCTGGTTTTAAGTTCACACATAATTGTTTTTTTAGGATGTGGCAGAATATAGCTCTCGTAGCTCAGTTGGTTAGAGCGTATGGCTGTTAACCATAAGGTCGGTGGTTCAAGCCCACCTGGGAGCGGTTGCAGTTTTGTTCCACCTGTGAATCCCTTTTTAGAATGTTTCTCCACTCCCTGTGCCACTTGTGAAGGAACTTGACTAGACCGCAAGCAAGCTCAAATGGTTGTGACAAGTAGGGTTGGGTCTTCTAGGTCCAGTAAATGACAGCCTTGGTGGTGCTAGAACAAATAAATGGAGCCGGATATTTGAGTAACGCTTGATAATTTTACGTCCAATTTATGGATTCAACCAGGAGCATTCCTATTTTTTCCCCTCATTTCATGTGAGGCCCTTCTCAGCGCTGCCGTATGCCACGAAACACTTCATAGCTGGTATTCTGCATTTCATATTCTGCCTGGACATAACTTGATATATGAATCTCTGTTTTACAGTGTGGCTTGTTTTGTGCTTATCGTAGCCAGCGATGAAGTCCTTACATATTATTTATCCACATCCTGCCAAAAATCTGCTGGACGTTCCCTTTCTGCCCTCAAATCAGGAAAGAGATTCATTCTGACCCTATCCTTGACAAAATTCCCTGGTTTGCCGCAGCAAAATCGTGACAAGCTATTGCTGGCCACAAATCGGAGATGGAAACTTTGATGAGTTCACAGGATTTCCGTTCCTCGTAAATCTTTTTGCGGCTTGAAATCTTCCTTCACCCCAGCAAGCGGGAAAGCTTTGCCGCTTTCTTCCTTCATCCCCCTCTCTTCGTCAGAAGCTGCCCGAACTTGGCAGGCCGCAAATCGCATTTTTGAAAGAAGGGGTTTGGGAGAGAGCGAAGTTGACGCGGTATGACATGGCGGAAATCTGCGAATCGGCTCTCTCTCCGCGACTCGTCTGTCATGTGGGGCTGAGAAGACGAAAGCGACTCGACGGGGATGAGAACGAACGTGAGCGAGAGAGGCATACTGTGCTCGAATTGAACACATTTGAGGGGCGAATTCGGGGTGAATCTACAACCCTGAGTAGTAGCAAGATTAGTATCAGTTTGCTGCGCTTCTGACCGCACCAGCCCCTCAAGTAGCGTCCTCTGAAGCCTCGCGTCGTTGCAAAGCTACGGCATTTCCCAAGAATATCCATCAGGCTGCTTTCCAGTCGGTAGTTTGAACTCACGTTTCCACTGCTGTTTCTTTGTAACGAGCGTTGTCACGTTTGTTACGGCCCCGCACGACGTGACACAAGCGAATCAGGATGAACGGCTGGTTCACGCCGAACCTCGGCTCTTCGCCGTCGTCCCCGGGACTAGCAAGACTCTCCTCTTCCACCAGCGATGGCGAATTGTAAGCTGAACTGGAGTTTACATTATCCACCGCATAGCGAAATTCAAGCCCAGACTTGCAATTGAATGAGTTTTCTCTTGAATTTATGGCGAATCAAGCGTGTATCTTTTCGTTGCGTCTGTCTCTCCCTCTTCCCCCCGCCGCGTCTGGGTTCCCACCATCTCCGTCTACGTCAGCTATTTGGCGGATCTAATCGCTGAGCGAAAGAAACTTACTCCGTTCAAGCTCGTTCTACCGCACTGCTCCCGTCTCTTGGAGGAAGGTACGCAGGGGCAGAATGCGATTCAGCATTGCTGAAATAGTCAGGATTCCTGGTTGGAGGAAGGTACGCTTGAGTTATATTTTTTTTCGTCTCAAGTGATTCATTGTTTAAGATTGTGTTGTCTTATTACAGAGATTGCGCGGCTGACGTCACTCAACTGTTCCTCGTCCGCCACGGACAACGACAGCATATCAAACCCTGAGCAGCTGTTACCCGACCAACTCACTTCGCCAAAGTCGCAGAACGGGCTTTCACCTGGTCCCTCGCCTTTCGATGGGGGCACCTGGTCGCCACTCCCTAACGAGATTGAGGTACGCGAAACGAGCATCCGGATTACCAGCACAACCTTAACTACACCCACCGCTTTGAGATAGCATCTTGTAATCAGCACCTTCGAATGAGTATTTGGGAAAGGCGCCTCTTTCTTTGTCAAGCCACAAACCTTTCCCGGTCTCCCACTCCCTATTCCCCCCTTCTCGTCCCCCTTACAGCCCTCGTTTTCCCCACTGGTGATGCTCCCGCCGCCCCCGCCAATCACTCAGTCCCTTGCGCCGCTCCCCAGCTGGGCCTCTCCGCCAGCACCCGGGGGAGGCGCAGGGGGAATGGGGACGGGAGGCGCAGGCAGAACAGGGAGCGGAATGGGAGGCGGAATGGGGGGCGGAATGGGGGGCGGAATGGGGGGCGGGATGGGGGGAGGAATGGGAGGCGGAATGGGAGGCGGAATGGGGGGCGGAATGGGGGGCGGAATGGGAGGGGGAGGCGGAGTTGCGCCGATAGTGAAGAAGATGCAGCGCGTGAACGTCCCCGTGGAGCGCTTCCCCGCGTACAACTTCGTGGGGCGCCTGCTGGGGCCGCGCGGAAACTCCCTGAAGCGCGTGGAGGCGCAAACGGGCTGCCGCGTGCTGATCCGCGGACGCGGATCGATCAAGGATCCGTGCAGGGTACGTAATTGGGAGGGGAGATGGAGTTTTAGGTGCCCCAGAAGCCTGTGCAGGGTGCGTATAGTTGGGACACAGCATGAGTTTTTGAGATGGGTCAGGGTGCGTATGCGGAGAGAGAGGATGAGGTGACTGAAAGTTCCGTCCGAGGGCGAGGATTGGTGAAGTGGCAGCGCAGGATGCGTGTTGAGAGAGGGGATGGGGTGGAGCTGAGTAAAGGCCGCGTTGCGGGGAGAAGGGGGGCCGGGGGGGGGCGGGGGGGGGGGGGGGGGGATCGGTGGAGAACTCGAGGGAGGGAAAAGGAGAGATACTTTCTAGAGCAACGGAGAGGTCGCGGGTTCTATACGACCGTGCTGACACATTCAACTTGATTCGAGAATGTGACGGAGGAGTCGACGACACTCCTGACCTGGCTCTAATGAACTTTGTGAAAATGGTTATGTGAAAGGCTTAAATCGGCTACCTGATGAGCGTTGCGTCCAGACGTATTTAGTTATCCGTGTTTATTCAATCTCCTGTTTCGCATCGCTCTCCTGCACTACACAACAGGAAGAGCGCCTACGTGGCAAGCCTGGCTACGAACACCTCTTCGACCCTCTCCACGTGGTCGTCGTTGCGGAATTACCGGCGGATATCGTGGACATGCAGCTTGGGGAGGCGTGCGAAATAGTCCACGAGCTGCTGAAACCCGTGGTACGTAATAAATGGAAACAAATCCGAGGAGCTAATTTTACTTATCAAACGCATTGCTCGACATTGTGGGTTCCGCCGAAAATCAAGCTGTCAGGTAATGCGAGGATGGATCTAGTTTCCTAAGTGGGGATTTTGCAAGATGGATCTGCTACTTCCGCGCCTGATGTGGCGAAGGGCGAAATGTGGTCCTTTCGCAAGCGTTCAAGCTAGGCGAATCCGAGCCTTCGATACCTCGGATTCTCGTGTCGCCTATTCAAGTTACAAATGTGGCTAATCGTCAAACTTTTCGCCCCCCACTTCAGGATGACTCTTACGACCTGCTGAAGCGGGCACAGCTTCGTGAGCTGGCAGTGCTGAATGGGATGCCCGAACATGGCCCTGGCGGGTGGCGAGCGGGACCTGGTTACCCGCCTCGCTCATCCCCGTTTTCAGATACAGCTTCCTCTGGCCTTAAAGGAGTCTGCCATTAGTGCTGTGGCCCTACACTTAGAAAAACTAGCCTAAGTCATGGATGCCATGACCTTGCTTTTAGTGTATGTATTCAGCTTCCTCGGATAGGGCAAGGCGCTAAAACCTTTTCTCTGATTGTCTAGATAAGTTGTGTGCTAATAACTGTCTTTTATTACAATATTGGTTAATAAGGTTATCATTTTACATTCATACTTTGAATACCAAGTCATCAGCAGTTTTGCGACTACAAACCTTGCTTAATCTGAAATCCCCCACGAAGCACCTGAAGGGTTTCAATCTGCAGCAAGACAAACCCAGCCAACCAAACATTAGAAAACCTCATTTTCATTACAACTAACATATACACCCCCCCACGAAACTTCACCCTTCTCACCTTAGATCGGAAGAAGCTGTTCTGCTCCTGAAGCTGCTTACAAGCAGATCGCAACTCGTCATAGTTCTTCCGCGCCAATCTACACTCCGTTTCCAGCTTCTGAAAACTCTCTCTCAATCCATCCACCAATCTCTCCTCCCCCAACCTGCTGTTCGCCTCCTCCCCTCCCTCCACATCACTTTCGCACTCCTCCCACCAGCTCTCGTCATAGTCACTGTTACAGTCACCATCATTCTCATCCCCGTCCTCATCTTCGTCATAATCATCCTCATCCTCATCATTCTCCTCTTCCTCCTCCTCGTCCTCCTCCCCCTCATCCTCCTCCTCAACCTCACCATATTCATCTGGCTGAATCGACCTGTCAAGCTGAGACCCCCTGCGGATCCACATAGAAGCGCACCCTTCCCTCTCCACTCTGTTTCCCAGCTGGTCGCTTTTGCCTTCATCCCCATCCTCTTGACCCCTTGCCACCTCATCACTCTCATCATCCACGTCCCCCTCCTCTTCTTCCTCCTCCTCCCCTCCCTCCTCATCCTCCTCACTATTCTCCTCATCATCCTCCTCCTCCTCCCCGCCCTCTTCATCCTCTTCTCCCTCTCCCTGCCTGCCTCTCCTCCCGGCCCTCCACTGCCCCTCCATCCCTCCTTGCCTCCTCCGCTTGGCTTCCACCTCTCCCGCTTCCCCCGGTCTCCCCTCCCCCGCGCTCACTTCCGCTCCCCCCACACCAGCGCCCCCCTCCCCCAGCTGCCGTTTCCGCCATCTGCGTCCGCCATCAGCAGCAACGCGCAACTCCGAGCGCAAAATACCAGCAAAGCCCGCGCCCACAGTCGCGTGCTCCGCAGAAGATGCGCCCACGGTCGCGCGCTCCTCAGCAAGAGTTTCCGCACACTCGGGCGCCCTCACGCGTGCCGCCTCCAGCGCGCTTTCCACCACACTCGCTGCCGCGCTTTCCACCACACTCGCTGCCGCGCTTTCTCCGACCAGGGGGGAAAACAACCGTCTCCGCTTCTGTCTGTCGCCCCAATCTCCCGCCGTCAACCCGTCCGCGCTTCCAAAACAGGCGCTCACTGCACCGCCCGCGGCCCCCGCTGCCTCTGCCGCGTGCGCGGCGGAACATGTGGAGGTATCGGGAAGATTGTTCGGCAGAGGGGAGCGGAGAACAGGGGAGTCGGCGGGTGCCGCGGGGTTGGCGAGCGGAAGCAGGATCGGCGGAAGAGGGCGCTTCAGCGAACCTTGCGCCTGAGTGGGCGAGGTTGCGTTGCGAGTGTTACCTCCAGTTCGTCGGCGAATTCGCGAAGAGTCCGCGAAGCGTGCATTGGCTAGCTCGGGTTGGGGTTGTATGTACAGTCGATTTGCTGTTTGAGTTGATGCAAAAGTTATCTCGGTTTGTCTGTACACTCTGTTGGGGGACCCAAATTGCTCCATGGAGTTCCCAAAGGCCTCGAAGTTGCTTCGGTGCAGCGTCCTCGGGATTTGAAACGGTATTGTCGCAGCGCTGTGTCTACCAACAGAAAGCCGAGTTTCGTCGCAATGAGAAGATGAAGAACGAGTACGATTGACAGGGAAAGGCACCGGCCGAGCTTATCTGCTTGAATCTTGCTTAAAGCTGTGTTGTCGTAGCGCTTGGTTACCAGCAGAAAGCAGCGTTCTTTCGCAACGAGAAGATGAACGGATGAGCTTTGAGACGTCTCAAAAGTCGTTGGGTTCTCACGAATCACTGCGAAGGCTTATACTCAGCGGAGGGAAATAAACTTGGACAAAACCGGTGAGGCCGGAGATTCCAAAAGCTGGGGTCGAGAACGGGAGAGACGCAGAAGGAGGTTGGTGGCCGAAGGAGGCTACCCAAGTGAGAATGCGAGTTGCGACGGGCGTTCCAATAATTCAGAGAGAAGAGCCTCTGGGTGCGGGTTGATAACGGAAGCTGCGTACTTGGCGTTGGGTGGGGAAGAAATTGGATCACGTGGGGGAGCAGACTCCTCACGGATATGTTTTCAGACGCCTCGAAAAGAAACTTGTGCAAGCGTGGCCGATAATGGGAGCTCTGTACGAGTTATATACGAAACTAAGCCCGGGTTTCCCGCTCGCTCGACAAGAAAATATCACAACGCAGAGAGGCGCGTGCTCGGATGCGCGAAGCGGATGATTAAGGAAACACATGCGGTCCACTCGCGCAAGGCCAGAAAGGCGATTTATTGGCTCAGAAAACCAAGTTGCTCGTTCGCGAAGCGAGGCTGTTGGTTCGGAGAGCCCAATTGTCTCTACTAATCTCAGGGATGTCCCCGCCATAGCCTGTAGCTTTCGCGGAGGGTGGCTAGCGTATGAAGCGGCGATCGCGGTCGAGAACCCAAAGCTCAACTCAAGTCGATCAGGCGACAATTAGTCGTCTCGCGTTCCGAATCGCCCACAGCTTGCGTCACCAATCTCCTAACTGCTGCCAAGAAGCTATTTTACCTACCAGCAACCAGCGGCGTTGACCTCAATTATTGAGAAGATGGTCCCCGGCGAGCTGGAAAGAGGGACCTCCCATAGGTGGGGGGAGCGTGCGAGAATGGGTCAGGTCAGGTGGTGGTGGTGGTCAGTTTGGTTTGGAACTGCGAGTCGCATCGCGGTGCGAAATGTCAATATGCGGCGTCCCGCAACTCACGGCGATGCATTATTGATGTTCTGGGTAGACATAATGCACTGGACAGGTTTGGTCGACCTCGACAACCTTCCAGCGCGGAGTGGGACTCGCGCCAGATCACTGTCAGTTTTCCCGCTGAGTCCGACATCCAAACCTGCCCATATTGCTTAGGGTCCAATCAAGCAGAAGTTCGGGCCAAGCATATAGGGACGGTTTCACCAAACCAAACATGACGTCAGAGAAGGGCTGGCATGACGAGAGTTATACTGTACAGAATTCCCCAACCAATTGGTCTTGGCGGTGGTAGGGATGGAAAGAAAAAAGCGTAGCAAAAAGGCGGCAGCGCAGTTGTATGGCTCAGCCTCGACCGCAGCTGTGGCCGTGAAACGCGGAAAACAACATGTTTTTTGAGCTAGGATTTGTATATTTTCGAGAATTAGTATCTTGCCGTTCTCGTAGAAATAAAACGGATACAAACTTATTACAACGCCAACAACACTAAAACGGATACAAACTTGTTACCACGCCAACAACACCAGACTCCGCACATATCTGGATCCTCCAGTAACTTGTGTAGGTGGAACAGATACCGTACTTGCTTTATGTACTCAAACAGGGCACAAGCGTACTGACAATGTAGTAGTAGATGTACAAAATAGTTAACTAGGCATCATCTTCGTCATCCTTGCCTAGGAAAGCAAGCATAGGATCATCGGCATGGATTCGCTTCATTCGGTATGCCTCCATGTCCTCCTCCGTCACCTGCAATTAGGAACAAGCACGAAAGGGAAGTGGAATACCAGAGAGGGGTTTGGTAGGATGTTGGGAGGGAGGAGGCGGAAGGTGGGAGCAGAGGGCGTAAGACGGGAAGGTGAGTTTGAAACAGGGGTTGTGAAGTAGAGTGGGGAATCTGCATCGGAGTTATTTTCAGCACGGACTTTCTTCTTTCGGAACGGACACACGGCAAGTGCGACTATAAACTCTTTGTCCAAATGTGAGTAACTCGAGAGATTTCGACTCGACAAACAAGCAATAACACTTACATCATCGGAATAGGTGACATTGTACTCGTGCTTGCGCTCGTCCTTCTCTCGACGGGGACAACAAGACGAGCATAGAGTTGACAGAAAGCAGAACAAGCAAGCAGAACAAGCAAGCAGAACCACTCACATCATCGGAATATGTAACATTGTACTTGCGCTTGCGCTCGTCCTTCTCCTCCCGAGCAAGTTCGTCCTCCTGCCATTGGCAATCAAGAGGCAAAGGAAAACACACACAAACTTTTGAGGCGCCTCAAAACTCGCCCTTCTCCTCCCGAGTAAGTTCATCCTCCTGCCATTGGCATGGGAACGAAAACGTTGACAAATGAGCAAAAGGAAGCACAGAAAGTCAAACATGGGCAACAGGAAGAAAGATGACACAAAGCCAAACTTCTCAAGACGCAGCAGCAGCCGTGTCAGGAAATAACAAACAGTCCCGACTCCCAACCCAAAATCACAGTTGGTCCCTTTCTTAACACACATACACAATAAATGAGTTGTCCCACAACAGCACGAATCCCTCCCCCCCACCACCTCACCTCTCTGCCCCCGCCACCCCTCCTCCTTCCTCTACAAACACACACGACACGCACACCCTCTCTTACCCTCTTAAGGGCTGCCCTGAGCTTCTTCTTATCCAGCTTTAGATCCATATCCATGCTGTGCCCCATGCACTGGCTTCTTTTCCTATTTTAACTGCTTCCCCCACAGTCACTCACTCACAAGCAGCACAAACACACACTCGCCCTCTTAAGGGCCGCCCTGAGCTTCGTCTTATCCAGCTTTCATTCCATGTCCACGTCTGTTCCCCACGGCACTGGCTTCTTTCCTCATGCCACAGATTCTTCCCTCCCCTCACTGCTCTCCTCACTCACACGCACACAGGAACGCCCACACACGCAACATACCCTCTTAAGAGCCGCCCTGAGCTTCTTCTTATCCAGCTTGATATCCATATCCGCGTCTGTGCCCCACGCAACTCCTTTCTTCTCCTCTGTGTGCTTTGCCTTGCCCGCTCCCTCCTCCTCCGCCTCCTCTCCCTCACTGCCTTCTGCTTCTGTGACAAGAGCAACCAACAAAAGGAAGGGAGAACGGGAGGAAGGGCAGAAGTGTTGAGCGAGAGAGATGAGAAAAATATCCGTGTCTGTGCCGAATGCCGAAGTGCTTCGCCTTGCCCGCTCCCTCCTCCTCATCTGCCTCCTCCATCTCACCGCCTGCAGTTTCTGTCACAATTGCAGCCAACGACGGGAAGATAGAAGGGGAGAAAGGGAAAAACGGAGAAAGGGAGAATGGGAAGGAAGAAAAGGACAGAAGTGTTAAGGAACACGCTGAGGTTTCTCCCTGTTCGCCTGCATCAGATTGGCTGGAGCGTCAGCAGCAGCAATGCCGCTGGCACCCCGTGTGCAGTACCTCAGATCAGACCACTAACAGCCCACACTCTTCCCAACCGTTTCACACACCTTTGGCAGCCTTCAGCTGTTCCCTCCTCTCCATGTTCGCCTGCATCAGATTGGCTGGAGCATCAGCAGCAGCAATGCCGCTGGCACCCCGTGTGCAGTACCTCAGATCAGACCACTAACAGCCCACACTCTTCCCAACCGTTTCACACACCTTTGGCAGCCTTCAGCTGTTCCCTCCTCTCCATGTTCGCCTGCATCAGATTGGCTGGAGCATCAGCAGCAGCAATGCCGCTGGCACCCCGTGTGCAGTACCTCAGATCAGACCACTAACAGCCCACACTCTTCCCAACCGTTTCACACACCTTTCGCTGCCTTCAGCTGTTCCCTCCTCGACATGTTCGCTTGCATCAGATTTGCCGAAGCCTTAGCAACAGCGACGCCCCTAGAGCAGCAGTGTGGTTGTTCAGTGCCTCCCTTCCTTTCTTCTCACTATGCACCTTTTGCTGCCTTCAGCTGTTCCCTCCTCTCCATGTTCGCTTGCATCAGATTCGCCGATGCCTCAGCACCCCAGCAACCCAGCAATGCACCCCCAGCAACTCCCTCTCTGCTCACCAGCCTTCAGCTGTTCCCTGCTCTCCATATTAGCCTGCGTCAGATTCGCCGACGCCTCAGCAGCAGCAATGCCGCTGGCACCCGTGCAGTAGCAATGCACGCACCCCAGCAACTCCCTCTCTACTCAATACCCAACTTTAGCTGCCTTCATCTGCTCGCGCCTCTCCATGTTCGCTTGCATCAGATTCGCCAACTGACAACATCAAGTGCCCCGAACAAACAGAACCCACACTCCTTACAACCGGTCCACACACCTTTAGCTGCCTTCATCTGCTCGCGCCTCTCCATGTTCGCTTGCATCAGATTCGCCAACTGACAACATCAAGTGCCTCGAACAAACAGAACCCACACTCCTTACAACCGGTCCACACACCTTTAGCTGCCTTCATCTGCTCACGCCTCTCCATGTTCGCTTGCATCAGATTCGCCGACGCCTCGGCAGCAGCGATGCCGCTGGCACCCGTGCAGTAGCTCATGCGAGTGGTTTGGTGGCAGCACGCATACCCCCACACGCCCCCGCCCCACCGGCTCCCACAAGCTGCCCCCTAACACACGCACCTTTAGCTGCCTTCATCTGCTCCCTCCTCTCCATGTTCGCCTGCATAAGATTGGCTGAAGCCTCCGCAGCAGCGATGCCGCTGGCACCCGTGCAGTAGCTCATGCGAGTGGTCTGGTGGCAGCACGCGTACCCCCACACGCCCCCGCCCCACCAGCTGCCCCACACGGCTCTGTGGTTGTTGACCAACACGTCTTCCTCATACCGGCTGCATGGCACGGCCTTGTCCTGAGAGAAGGGAGGGAGAAGAAACACTTAGGTCATTAGCAGCACGGGTAAGCCCCACACGCCCCCGCCCCACCAGTTGCCCCACACGGCTCTGTGGTTGTTTGTTGATCAACACGTCTTCCTCATACCGGCTGCAGGGTATCGCCTTATCCTGAGGATGGGAATAGAAAAGAAGAGGGGTAGGAGCGAAATGCGTTCAGATAAAATTGCCTGGCAGCCACTTGCAAGTTGCACCTCCGTCTGCCCTAGCAGCAACAGCTCCTTCGGAGTCCCCTCCTCCCCAGCCTAAGTAAGAAGCAACTGTAGTGCCACAGTACATACCATACCCGTTATAAGCATGAACACAGTGCTACTTACCACTCCTCTGAGGGGTCGCCCCGCCCAGTCATACTCCACTTGCACCTCCGTCTGCCCCAGCAGCAGCTCCTCTGGAATCCTCTCGCCCAAAGACGAAGGGCAACAAAGGGAATTGTACTGCAATGTACCATACCCGTTATAAGCATAACTTGAGCAGTGCCACTTACCACTCCTCTCAACGGTCGTCCCGCGCGGTCATACTCCACTTGCACCTCCGTCTGCCCCAGCAGCAGCTCCTCCGGAATCCCCTCCCCCCCCCCCCCCCACCCCCCGGACTATAAAAAAAACAGCGTTATACCACAGCACATAACATACCCGTTATAAGCAAAAATTTAATGCTACTTACCACTCCTCTGAGTGGTCGCCCCGCGCGGTCATACTCCACTTGCACCTCCGTCTGCCCCAGCAGCAGCTCCTCCGGAATCCCCTCCTCCTCCTCCCCCTCCCCACCACCCCCTCTCCCCTTATTACTCGCTGCGTTCCCATACTTGGCCAGCACCGACTCCTTACTCGCCCCCTTCAGCTTCTCCTTTTTGACCTTAAACTCCCTGTGCAGCAGCTCTGCTTGGCTCGGCGCGCCCTGTAAGTGCACGTCCACGTTGACCTTTTCCATGGCCTCCCACGCGTGCACGGTGAGTTGGCGGAACTCCAGGGCCTGCCCGCTGATGCGGTTGTGGTTGTCTCCCAGGTAGAATTTGTCTTTAGCATCGCCCTCGGGATTGGGATCTTCCCTCATAGAGCGCGTTTTTGGATCGTAATAGGCTGAGTCGACGTCGAGGTTCAACAGGTACTTGGCTGTATCCTCACGAATGCGCAGGTTCCTGGGGTGAGGAAATGGACGGGAGGGGGGGCAGGAGAGGCAGGGAGGGCAGGAGAGGCGGGAGGAGCGGGAGGGGCAGGAGGGGCAGGAAGGGTAAGGGGTATGGGTCAAGGGAAGCAAGGTTGTGGTTGTCGCCCAGGTAGTAGAATTAGTTGCCCTTGGCGCAGCCGCTACCAGGGCAACAACCACAAAAGGTGGTAGAATTTGTCCTTCAGGCCTAAACAGTGGTTGTCCTCACCAGTCGTCCTCACACGCTTCTCCACCTTTCCGAACCTAGGCTGATACTTCTGCACCTTTCTACACCATTCAAACGTGAACGTGCCGTACTGAACCTGTGCTGCCACCGCCAGTCGTCCTCACACGCTTCTCCACCCTTCTGCACCCACCTATACCACCCTTAACAGGCCAAAAAGGTGAACGTACCGCACTGAACCTGTGCTGCCACCGCCAGTTGTCGTCACGCGCTTCTCCACCTTTCCAAAGTCCATCTGCCTTCTCTCATCCACCTTCGCATCATCCCCCTCCTCACACGCTCTCCACCCTTTTGCACCTTTCTACACCTTCCCACACCCTCACATACCGCACTGAACCTGTGCTGCCACTGCCAGTCGTCCTCACACGTTTCTCCACCTTCCCAAAATCCATCTGCAGATTCTCATCCACCTTCGCATCATCCCCCTCCTCACACGCTTCTGCACCCTTTTACACCTTTCTACACCCTCCCACACCATCACGTACCGCACTGAACCTGTGCTGCCACCACCGGTCGTCCTCACACGCTTCTCCACCTTCCCGAAATCCATCTGCCTGCTCTCATCCACCTTCGCATCATCCTCCTCCTCCTCCTCCTCCTCTTCATCCTCTCCCCCCTCCCCTCCCTCTCCCTCCTTCCCTCCTCCCTCCTTCCCCCCTCCCTCCCCATCGCCCCCTTTCCCAGCCAGCTTCTTCAACTGCTGCTCTTTCTGAAACTTCTTCCTCGCTTCGGCCCGAATATCATACGAATCCATGGTTCGCTTGTAAGTCGCCGCATCAAACCCGTTCCAGCGGTCGCGTTTGCCCTCGTAGTTGAGTTCGATCGACTGAATCTTCTCGTCTGCTGCAATGCTCTGGCTCGTCCACTTGGCGCCCACCTTCCTTGGCCGCTCCACACATAATTTTGCAGTGTGGGTCATGGCGCCACAGCTGGTGGGGTGGATGGGCAGGGCAGGGAGCCAAAGGAGGAAAAAGGGGAGGGGAGGGGGAGGGGAGAGGGGGTCCGGGCAGAATGGGGAGAAGGGAGAGTATCAATGAGTGCATCCCCCTTGCCCTCGTAGTTGAGTTTGATCGATTGGATCTTCTCGTCTGCTGCAATGCTCTGGCTCGTCCACTTGGCGCCCACCTTCCTTGGTCGCTCCACACACAGCTTGGCTGGCGGTATGGGTAATGGCGCCACAGCTGGTGGGTCGAAAGACAAGGGAGGAGATAAAGCCAAACGCGAGAAGAGAGGGTGGGTGGGAGAGGGGGGGTGGGGGGGAGATAGCACTGCGCGCATAGAGTTGGCATGAGCAAACGACTCAATTGGCTGAATATTCACAGGGGAAACCACATGCATTAAGCTGAGGGCACGCACTTAAAAGTTTGTAGCTCCTCGGTCGTACCACAGATTGGTGTAGTTCCCCTCGCCCTATACTAGACTAGAGCACCACAGAGAGTGACGCACAAGCAGTGGAGGTAAGATAACGTACTTGGTGCCTTTAGACTAGAACTACACCAACCTATGGTACTTGCGGTACTTCTCAGCCTGAAAGCCTTTAGCTCCTCGGCCGTACCATAGGTTGGTGTAGTTCCCCTCGCCTCCAGGCTATACTAGACTAGAGCACCACAGAGTGTTAGGCACAAACAGGGCGGTGAGGCATGGAACGTACTTGGTGCAGGCGCCCTTGCGGAACTTCTCGGCCTGAAAGCCCTTGGCTCCTCGGTCGTACCACAGGTTCGTGTAGTTCCCCTCGCCCTTCCAGTTCCGTTGATGCTTCAAACTCTGCTCAGACGCACATCAGGGTGAATACAAAATATACAGGTTACCGCACAAGTTGTAATTCCGAAAGCGACATGTGCAGAAACAAACATTGGTGGTTACGTTGACGTAGCAAGGCAACCAAGGCATGCTTTGAGAAACGAACCCCACCCACTCACACACCCTCCAACAGCCTTCCTCCCAACAAACCCTATACCTCTTCCCCTTCCCCCTTCACTCCCTTCTCTCTCCCCCTCTACTCACGGGTCGTTCGGCGTTGAGGTACCACTGTACCAGGGCGCGGACGACATGTACTGCTGGAACGAACCCCACCCTACTCCAACTCACCCATACACCTACCATCCCAACCTCCAACCCTACCCCACCCCCTCAACCCCTCCCCCCTCTACTCACGGGTCGTTCGGCGTTGAGGTACCAGGGCGCGGACGACATGTACTGCAGCAACGAGCCTAAACCATACCACCACCATCCCCAACACCCACCCCCGTCCCCGCCCCAAGCCCCTTCCCCCGCTACTCACGGGTCGTTCGGCGTTGAGGTACCAGGGCGCGAACGACATGTACTGCGGAACGAGCCCCACCCGTATCCCCTTCATCCCATGCACCCACCGTCCCACCCCCTACTCCTTCAGAAGCAGATTACTCACGGGTCGTTCAGATTTGAGGTACCAGGGCGCGGAGGACATGTACTGCGGGATATGCGGATTGATCTCGTTGCCATCCTCCCTCTTTCCCCTCTTCCTCTCCTTTCTACCACTACCCCCACCCACCCAAAAAACCCCCTCAGCAGCAGGCTACTCACGGGTCGTTCGGCGTTGAGGTACCAGGGCGCGGACGACATGTACTGCGGGATATGCGGATTGATCTCGTTGCCATCCTCGTCCAACTCTGCTGGCGCCAACCCCGCCTTACGCGCCTCCTCGAGCTCCTGCTGCTTCCTGTGGTCCTCGCGGGACTTAAACGTCGCTGGATAAGGCACAATAGTAGGACGAAAGAAAGGGGAGAATTTCAGAAAATAGGAGATCTTAGAAAGATGCAAGACCGCCTTACGAGCCCCCTCGAGCTCTTGCTGCTTCCTGTGGTCCTCGCGCGACTTGAACGTGGCTGGATGAGACAAGAAACGGACAAGAGGGGAGGAAGGAGATTTTAGAAGGATAAGGAAAGTGAAATCTCGCCTTACGCGCCTCCTCCAGCTCCTGCTGCTTACGTCGCTGTTAGAGGGAAGGGGGGGGGGGTGAGGGAGAGGAGAAGTACGAACAGAGGATGAGACAGGTCGTCTTGCAGTCACAACGCGAAGGGCACGAATTAGAGAAAAATCTCACCAAGGCACGCAAGCTAACAATCTGGCTCCTCGTAAGTCCCGAGGAGGGAAACGGGAGAGACGCATGTCATGCTGTGAAGAACGTAAGGAGAAACGCTGAACGGCCGCACGATGCAGCAAAAATATAATCAAGGTGGCTCACGCAGGTGATGCTTATCGAACCATAGCCTAATAACAAATAGTTCCATAAAGAAGACCCTCAAACGCTAAAGTTGTTGCACAAGGAGACGAAATTGATAAAACCGAGCACTTGGTACTGAGATTCGACGTTTAAAACGGATGTAATCGAGTTTTAAGACGACACCTAACAAGCTCAGAATGTGTACAACGCTCCTCGAGTATAGACTACGTTGCATCCCTGCCTAAGACGTCTCCACGCTAGGTCGGGATGCATACTAGCAAATGCATCGAACAAAAGCATCTGACGAACGCTCTTCAAGTAATACAGACTAGGTTTCATCCGTTATCGAGACGGCTCGAAACACTGTCTACAAACTACCCAACATCCATGAATCGTCTGACAGTCATGTAGCATCGCTGCGGCGAAAGGCCTCACCTGAAGCCGTCGCCATGGTTCTGAATTGAAAACGCTCAGCACCGCAAATCGGCAGTCGCTGGCAAGTTACTAAGCGAAAAGCACGGAAGCTCCCAGGCACGCTATGACTACCACAGTTCGCAAATTCGCTCAGGAGAGAGGCGTAGCAAGCAAACCCTAACAAGCGGATGAGGGATATGCACCGAAGTTCTATCGACTCCAAGAAGCAAGAATCAACGGACAGAACCGTGAAGCAGAATGACTGGCAGGCTCAAGTTTTGTAGAAAAACAGCCAGCGAAGCAAATCCCCAGGTTGGAAAACGAATCCCAAGGAGGCGGCGAGTGGCCTTCTGAGGGCGCATTCCTGCTCCAGGTTGTGTAGAGTGAAAGCATACTGGTGTTTGACAGGAGGCCCTAACGAATTTCGCTTACTTCATTCGCGATCCCATGCAGGGCTTACAACATGAAAGTAAACAGCTCGCCTCGTGTGTTGTTGGTTTCTTGGTTCAGGGCCTGGCAGCGAATTGGATATGATGCACTGGCAGGAGGGCAAAACGAAAATCGCGACATTAGTCACACAGCCCCCTTACCAGTTTTATGTCCAGATATAAAAGCTAGTTATGAAGGTTCATGAAGCTAGAATGGAGGATGCAGCTAGTCAGTAGTGCATGCTAATCCCTCCTCCTTACCTCCTGCCTATCTAACCTCATTAATTTTCCTTGATTTCTCTCAAATATACATGATAATACCATTTCCCCGAATTCCTCCAACGATTGGGCTATAAAAAATTGAATGGCTGTTCTCATCATCAGTTTATTTCGTTAGAGTATGCATGGATAGCTGAACCATAAGGCCAACTTCAATACTAGATACTGGGTGTTGTTTTCACACAACATAGGTAGGAAATTCCTATGTATAATGTAATACACCCCTACGAGTGATCGCCTTGTAAAGGGGAAATCCTGAACCTGGCATAGAGGCAGCCACATTCATAATTCTGATATCTGCCTCATTTTCCATACTATGGCCTGTTCATGGTCGGATTGAGAGGGTGAGCAGGCCGAGGAGGAGTTTCTTCGTCGCCGTAGGTTCCGGAACAGGAATGAATCATGCAGCCGTTCAGATCTGCGGCTTCCGCAGCGCGAGATAGGGTTTGTCGTAATTCCCGGTCGTTAAATCCGAGCGACTGAATTGTCTAGTCCTTGTTCATTGCTCTAGCAGTTGTCCTTACCGCTGTTCGAACAACCCTGTCATTTGTCATAATACTTCGTTAAACTCGTCCTGTCCGTGACGTCATTCTGCCATAGCTATTCGTTATCCAACCACGTACTTGTCTTTAGAAAATGGCATCAGGCGGTTCGCACCGCGATCCGCTTCCTTTCTTCGGTCCATCCACATCCATCCCCGAACTCACCCGACTCTCGCGCCTCTCCAGCCAATCTGCTCCCGCCAGCTGTCACTGGAAGCTGTTCGACCGTCAGACTCGCTCTGAGTTGCTGTACCCACCGGGAGACGATCGCGGACGGGTAGCCGTCTGGTCGCTTAAGATCTCGCCGTCAGGCAAACGGCTAGCCGTCATCTGGGGTTCGACAGTGACTATTCTGTCACATTACGATGGGTATTCGGCTCCCGTCGGCAGCTTCAGCATTCCGTCAGGTGCTATTCCGTCAGGTCTGCCTATGCGTTACCATTCCGTCGTCTGTCAAAGTCAAATATTTCGTCAGCATTTTTGTGTTTAATTAGTCTGATAATGGCTACTGGTGAGTTACGTTTTCTATTGCGTCAGTCTGAAATGGTTTGAACTTTGGGATACGCATGCCTATCTGGTTGTGCTTATGGTAACTAGTCAGTTTTGGACAGCATTTACATGTTCTCTTATACGTATCCTCTTTCAAGCATCACCGTTTTGGTTTTCTCATAGAGATGCCCTTCTCATTTTCATGCTGTCGCAACGCAACGTGCAGGATCAGGCAGGGATCGGGTTACCACATCGACCAGTGTAACCGCGGAGTGGAGCGACGACGAGAGGGTCCTCGCTGTGATTGGTCCCCGCGCTCTCTGGTTGCTGGACGCACAGGGGCTGCTGCTCGGCGATTTGCCTGCTGCCACGTGGCAGCCACGGGGATCCACCGTTGCAGGCTGTATCCTACGATCTGCACACGACTCGGAGCCTGACAGTGGAGTGAAATCTTTAAGGTAAGCTTGCCAGTGCATTACCAGAGCAGTGAAATCTTCAAGGTAAGGGGTCGGGTCCCTTTCTCACATTTACACTTGAGGAGCCTCAGAAGGCTGTGTCCTAGGATCCGCACACGATTCGGAACCTGATAGTGGAGTGATTTTTTCTGGGTAAGAAGTCAGTTTTTCTTGCACACGCTTGTTCCCCTAACCTCCCCCCCCCCGTTTCGCCCTCAAATGCCATAGAAATCCAATCCGTTACCCATTGTTTCAAACTCTAGGTCGACTCATTTCATGTCTCTCCTCCCTCCCATCCCCTCCTCTCCCTTCCCTTCCTCCCAACCCCCCACTCTCCCAACTACAATGCCTATAACATCATTTTGGTCTTGTCCCACCGTCACCCCGCCGTTAGTTATCCACAATCCCGCCCCCACTGATTCATGCTGTCTTTTTCGCTCCTCCCAAGCACAATCTCCCCCCCCCCAACCACAGTGCCTATGAAATCATTCTGCTCCTGTCCCACCCTCGCCCGCGCCTCTTGCGAGCTACAGGCTCCCACTCTGAGTCACCCTATTTTCCTCTTTCCTCCCAACCACCCCCCCTCCCCCCTCCCCCCTTTCTCCCAACCACAGTGCCTATGAAATCATTCTGGTCCTGTCCCACCCTCGCCCGCGCCTTTGGCGAGCTACAGTCTCCCTCCCACTGCCTCCCTCTGGCGAGCACGGGGCGAGTTCAGGAGTTTCAGGTGTTTCTTCAGGTGCTGCGTCAGGAGCCTGGGGTGCGCGATCAGTGAGGGTGAAGGCGAGGGGGAGGGCGTATCTGCTGGAGGGCAGGCATCAGGGGAGCGTGGTTCGCTCAGACTTTCATCCAGTGCTGAGTCTCCTTGCAGTGGCCGGCATATGCCCCTCTGGTAAGACCCTGTCTGTCAGGACAAAGCGTATTCGCGTCCTCTCCAACCCCTTCTCCCCGAGACTTCCACCCAGTGCTGAGTCTCCTTGCTGTCGCCGGCATATGCCCCTCTGGTGAGACCCTGTCTGTCAGGACAAAGCGTATTCGCGTCCTCTCCAACCCCTTCTCCCCGAGACTTCCACCCAGTGCTGAGTCTCCTTGCTGTCGCCGGCATATGCCCCTCTGGTGAGACCCTGTCTGTCAGGACAAAGCGTATTCGCGTCCTCTCCAACCCCTTCTCCCCGAGACTTCCACCCAGTGCTGAGTCTCCTTGCTGTCGCCGGCATATGCCCCTCTGGTGAGACCCTGTCTGTCAGGACAAAGCGTATTCGCGTCCTCTCCAACCCCTTCTCCCCGAGACTTCCACCCAGTGCTGAGTCTCCTTGCTGTCGCCGGCATATGCCCCTCTGGTGAGACCCTGTCTGTCAGGACAAAGCGTATTCGCGTCCTCTCCAACCCCTTCTCCCCGAGACTTCCACCCAGTGCTGAGTCTCCTTGCTGTCGCTGGCATATGCCCCTCTGGTGAGACCCTGTCTGTCAGGACAAAGCGTATTCGCGTCCTCTCCAACCCCTTCTCCCCGAGACTTCCACCCAGTGCTGAGTCTCCTTGCTGTCGCCGGCATATGCCCCTCTGGTGAGACCCTGTCTGTCAGGACAAAGCGTATTCGCGTCCTCTCCAACCCCTTCTCCCCGAGACTTCCACCCAGTGCTGAGTCTCCTTGCTGTCGCCGGCATATGCCCCTCTGGTGAGACCCTGTCTGTCAGGACAAAGCGTATTCGCGTCCTCTCCAACCCCTTCTCCCCGAGACTTCCACCCAGTGCTGAGTCTCCTTGCTGTCGCCGGCATATGCCCCTCTGGTGAGACCCTGTCTGTCAGGACAAAGCGTATTCGCGTCCTCTCCAACCCCTTCTCCCCGAGACTTCCACCCAGTGCTGAGTCTCCTTGCTGTCGCCGGCATATGCCCCTCTGGTGAGACCCTGTCTGTCAGGACAAAGCGTATTCGCGTCCTCTCCAACCCCTTCTCCCCGAGACTTCCACCCAGTGCTGAGTCTCCTTGCTGTCGCCGGCATATGCCCCTCTGGTGAGACCCTGTCTGTCAGGACAAAGCGTATTCGCGTCCTCTCCAACCCCTTCTCCCCGAGACTTCCACCCAGTGCTGAGTCTCCTTGCTGTCGCCGGCATATGCCCCTCTGGTGAGACCCTGTCTGTCAGGACAAAGCGTATTCGCGTCCTCTCCAACCCCTTCTCCCCGAGACTTCCACCCAGTGCTGAGTCTCCTTGCTGTCGCCGGCATATGCCCCTCTGGTGAGACCCTGTCTGTCAGGACAAAGCGTATTCGCGTCCTCTCCAACCCCTTCTCCCCGAGACTTCCACCCAGTGCTGAGTCTCCTTGCTGTCGCCGGCATATGCCCCTCTGGTGAGACCCTGTCTGTCAGGACAAAGCGTATTCGCGTCCTCTCCAACCCCTTCTCCCCGAGACTTCCACCCAGTGCTGAGTCTCCTTGCTGTCGCCGGCATATGCCCCTCTGGTGAGACCCTGTCTGTCAGGACAAAGCGTATTCGCGTCCTCTCCAACCCCTTCTCCCCGAGACTTCCACCCAGTGCTGAGTCTCCTTGCTGTCGCCGGCATATGCCCCTCTGGTGAGACCCTGTCTGTCAGGACAAAGCGTATTCGCGTCCTCTCCAACCCCTTCTCCCCGAGACTTCCACCCAGTGCTGAGTCTCCTTGCTGTCGCCGGCATATGCCCCTCTGGTGAGACCCTGTCTGTCAGGACAAAGCGTATTCGCGTCCTCTCCAACCCCTTCTCCCCGAGACTTCCACCCAGTGCTGAGTCTCCTTGCTGTCGCCGGCATATGCCCCTCTGGTGAGACCCTGTCTGTCAGGACAAAGCGTATTCGCGTCCTCTCCAACCCCTTCTCCCCGAGACTTCCACCCAGTGCTGAGTCTCCTTGCTGTCGCCGGCATATGCCCCTCTGGTGAGACCCTGTCTGTCAGGACAAAGCGTATTCGCGTCCTCTCCAACCCCTTCTCCCCGAGACTTCCACCCAGTGCTGAGTCTCCTTGCTGTCGCCGGCATATGCCCCTCTGGTGAGACCCTGTCTGTCAGGACAAAGCGTATTCGCGTCCTCTCCAACCCCTTCTCCCCGAGACTTCCACCCAGTGCTGAGTCTCCTTGCTGTCGCCGGCATATGCCCCTCTGGTGAGACCCTGTCTGTCAGGACAAAGCGTATTCGCGTCCTCTCCAACCCCTTCTCCCCGAGACTTCCACCCAGTGCTGAGTCTCCTTGCTGTCGCCGGCATATGCCCCTCTGGTGAGACCCTGTCTGTCAGGACAAAGCGTATTCGCGTCCTCTCCAACCCCTTCTCCCCGAGACTTCCACCCAGTGCTGAGTCTCCTTGCTGTTGCCGGCATATGCCCCTCTGGTGAGACCCTGTCTGTCAGGACAAAGCGTATTCGCGTCCTCTCCAACCCCTTCTCCCCGAGACTTCCACCCAGTGCTGAGTCTCCTTGCTGTCGCCGGCATATGCCCCTCTGGTGAGACCCTGTCTGTCAGGACAAAGCGTATTCGCGTCCTCTCCAACCCCTTCTCCCCGAGACTTCCACCCAGTGCTGAGTCTCCTTGCTGTCGCCGGCATATGCCCCTCTGGTGAGACCCTGTCTGTCAGGACAAAGCGTATTCGCGTCCTCTCCAACCCCTTCTCCCCGAGACTTCCACCCAGTGCTGAGTCTCCTTGCTGTCGCCGGCATATGCCCCTCTGGTGAGACCCTGTCTGTCAGGACAAAGCGTATTCGCGTCCTCTCCAACCCCTTCTCCCCGAGACTTCCACCCAGTGCTGAGTCTCCTTGCTGTCGCCGGCATATGCCCCTCTGGTGAGACCCTGTCTGTCAGGACAAAGCGTATTCGCGTCCTCTCCAACCCCTTCTCCCCGAGACTTCCACCCAGTGCTGAGTCTCCTTGCTGTCGCCGGCATATGCCCCTCTGGTGAGACCCTGTCTGTCAGGACAAAGCGTATTCGCGTCCTCTCCAACCCCTTCTCCCCGAGACTTCCACCCAGTGCTGAGTCTCCTTGCTGTCGCCGGCATATGCCCCTCTGGTGAGACCCTGTCTGTCAGGACAAAGCGTATTCGCGTCCTCTCCAACCCCTTCTCCCCGAGACTTCCACCCAGTGCTGAGTCTCCTTGCTGTCGCCGGCATATGCCCCTCTGGTGAGACCCTGTCTGTCAGGACAAAGCGTATTCGCGTCCTCTCCAACCCCTTCTCCCCGAGACTTCCACCCAGTGCTGAGTCTCCTTGCTGTCGCCGGCATATGCCCCTCTGGTGAGACCCTGTCTGTCAGGACAAAGCGTATTCGCGTCCTCTCCAACCCCTTCTCCCCGAGACTTCCACCCAGTGCTGAGTCTCCTTGCTGTCGCCGGCATATGCCCCTCTGGTGAGACCCTGTCTGTCAGGACAAAGCGTATTCGCGTCCTCTCCAACCCCTTCTCCCCGAGACTTCCACCCAGTGCTGAGTCTCCTTGCTGTCGCCGGCATATGCCCCTCTGGTGAGACCCTGTCTGTCAGGACAAAGCGTATTCGCGTCCTCTCCAACCCCTTCTCCCCGAGACTTTCATCCAGTACTGAGTCTCCTTGCACTGGCCGGCATTTGCCCCTCTGGTGAGTAGATACCTCTCCAGGTGAATGGGAGGGGGAGGGCGGGGGAGGGCGTATCTGCTGGAGGGCAGGCATCAGGGGAGCGTGGTTCACTCGGACTTTCATCCAGTGCTGAGTCTCCTTGCAGTGGCCGGCATTTGCCCCTCTGGTAAGACTCTTCTTTATGTGGCCAGCGTGCGTCCCTCCTCCTGTCCATCTGGCATATATGATATCCCGGACCCGCACCTCCCCCTTCTCCCTCCCTCCTTCCTCTTCCACCTGCGCTTCCCCCTTCTCATCCCCTTTTTCGTACCCACCTGCGCTCTGCTCGTCTGTGCTTCTCTTCCCCCCCCCCCCTTTTTTTTTTCCCGTGCAGCTGACAAACCATCCCCCACGCGCCCCCCCACGTCCCTCCTCCTGTTCATCTGGCTCATCCCCGACCCGCACCACCCTCTCCTCCCGCCCTCATTCCTCTGCCTCCTAAGCTTCTCAGATTCTCATTTCCTCCTTCTTGTTCCTTTCCCCCCCCCGTTCTTCCCCTGCAGTTGGCAAACCGTCCCCCACGCGCCCCCCCACGTCCCTCCTCCTGTCCATCTGGCACATCCCGGACCCGCACCACCCCCTGCTCCCGCCCTCCTTCCTCTGCCTCCTCCGCTTCGCTCCTCCTCCCCTCCACCCTCCCCAATCCAAACCCTCTCGCTCCAGAACCCCAGGCTCGGGATCCTCTCTAGGGTTTTGGGACGAGGGTTTAGAGGGGGAGGAGGATGAGGAGGACGACGAGGAAGGGGAGGAGGCGGTAGCAGAAGTGAGATTCTCCCCTGATGGGGGGTCACTAGCGGTGGTACACCACCGGGGGGCTTTGTCTCTTATGCGGATGTCGGCTAAGGATTCTGAGCTCATGCTGCTGCCTAGGAGTGCGGGGAGAACTGTGGGTGTTCCCTCTGGGGCTGCGGTGGAGGAGGAAGGGAGTGTGGTGGAGAGGGGTGTGGAGGAGTGGGGTGTGATGAAGGACGGGACGGAAGAAAAGGACGGAGAGGAGGGGATGAAGGAGAAGGGAGAGGAAGGGACACAGCAGAGGAAAGCAGTGCGGTTCCGAATGGTGCAAGGCGGTGTGGTGGATTGTGTCATCAGTGTGACATGGCTCAGCACAGATACCATAGCAGTATCCCATCGCTCAGGGAGAGTAGCCATAGCCACTGTGCACGATCTAAGCAATCTCACCGGCCCGTTCCCTCTAGTCTTCGGCCCCCGGGCGGTCCTCTGCTCGTCCAATCTCCTCACGCCACGTGGCAGCAGCAGGTCTGGAGTGTACCCGCGAGGGGTGATTGTTCTAGAGCCGGTTGCGAGACGGGTGTCGGTTCCTGATTGGGCGAGAGGGACCTTTGGAAACGGGACTGATTCTCATGGGGAGGGGGTGCTGGAGAACGGGTGGCGGGTTTTGTCTCTTGTGGAGCAGCTGGCGGCGGTTATGGTGCGGGTGTTAACTGAGGAAGGTAGACTTGGGGACGCGCTGGGGATGGCTCGGGCGGCAGGGTTGCATTCGGATGTGGTGTTTAAGGCTGCTTGGACGAGCATGGGTATAGGAATTTCTGCAGGAGAAGCAGCAGGGGAAGGAAGAGGAGGAAGAGGAGGAGGACGAGGAGGAGGAGCAGGAGTAGGCGAGAGTCGGAGGTTGTTGGGAGGAGACAGGGGACTTGCGGGTACGGAGGAGGAAGGGAAAGAGGAGGGGAATGATGTGGAGGAGGGGAGTGAGGAGGAGAGAGAGGAGGAGGAAGAGGAGGAGGTATCAACAATCACAGACTACCTCTCTCGGGTATCCGACACTCCATGGGTGGTGCGGGAGTGTGTGAGTGTGGTATGCCGCACTGCCAAGGGCATGGATTTGCTGCTAAGTCTGGGACTTCGAGCCACTAGCAGTCTCAAGGAGGAAACCCTAAAAGCAGCAGCTGCTGGTGTGGCAGCAGGAGGAGCAGGAGGAGCAGGAGCAGGAGCAGGAGCAGGAGCAGGAGTAGGAGTAGGAGGAGAAGCAGCAAGCCCTGCAAGGGCACAAGCAGCAGGGGCTGGAGATGCAGTGACACGAACGAGTGTGAAGCTATCAGGTGTAAAGCTGGCTCTGGTTCGAAGCAGGTTGCAACTTTTGTCCTTTCGTGACCGCCTACAGAGCTACCTAGCCCTCAACATGGGCCGATACGATCCCCAACAGTACGGCGTCTTTCGTCTTCTTCCCCTCCACTCTGCCGCACAGCGTTTCGCCTCCGCCGGCCGGATCTCAGCCGTCCACATCCTGCTGCAAAGGCATCCCTTCTCACTCTCCCCTCACCTCCTCTCCCTCCTCTCCTCTCTCCCAGAAACCCTCCCTCCTCATTCCTATCGAGCCATTCTCCCTGGTGCCTCCCCCCCGTCTGTGTCCCGGACCAGAGGGGCAGATTGGGTGGAAGGGCGAGGGGTGCTGCAACTGATTGGAGCTGGTCCGGCTGTAGCAGCTACAGATTCAGCTGCTGCTGTGGCTGCTGCTGCTGGTAGTGGCGGCGGTGGTGGTGCTGCTGCTGTAGCCTCGGCTACAGAAGAGGTGGTGTTTCTGTTTCAGGGTTTTAAGTTCCCGTCCAAGCCTGTCGTTGAGGCTTGGTACCTCTCCCGAGCCAGGGAGATTGAGGAACGGACGGGCCTGCTGCAGCACTCTCTCGCGCTGCTGGATCTAGGCTTGGCAGCAGGCTTGGGGGAGGTTCGGAATGCTATGGAGGATTACGCTGAGCTGAACAGAGTGGTATATGGGGCTTGTGGGGCTGATAATAAAGAGGATGAGGACAGGAACGAGGGAGGGAGAGAGGAGGGTGGTGACGAGGCAGGGGAATTAGGGGATGACAGGAAAGAGCAGGAGGAGGAACAGGGAGAGGGGCAACATCAGCACCAGCAGCAACAACAGTCTGCCCAATCCGCTTCTGTCTTCTCTGCTGTCACCCCAATTGCCCTAAAACGCGCCGAACTCACTCTTTCCATCTGGTTACAGCTCCCCATAATCCAACGGTTCAGATTCGTTCTCGGGCGGCCCTGCCCCGCATCCATCGTCTCACGCCTGCACGAGCGCGCTCTGCCAATCCTGTTCCGCCACCTGGCGTCGCCGCAGCAGGTCTGGAGCCTCCTGGAAAAATGGCTAAGGGAGGAAATCGCCCCTGTGAGAGGCAGAATGGCAGTTTTCTCCTCTGTTGTGGCTGAAATGGCTAAGGGAAAACATGGCTGTCTCTCTCTCACAACCTCGAGCCCCCCCTCTCTCTCTTCTCCTCCGCTTCCTTCCACCAGCCCTCTTCCCTCCTCTTCCGCTTCCTCTTCCTCCTCCCAACCCCCCTCCGCATCATCCCTTCTCCCTTTCTCTCTTTCCGATCTTGCCTCTCTCTCCCTCCACTGCCTCCCCCTCTCTGCCTCTACTGATGAATGGAGCTCTATGGCTTTTCTGCTCCGAGCCATTCTAGACTCTCACAAAACTGCTGCTCTAGCTGAACAGCACAGGGTTCAGTCTCCTGCTTCATTTGCTGCTGCTGGTGCGGGTGGGGGGAGGGGCAGGCGTGGCGGAGCCTCGGCCCGAGCCTCCGGCGCAGGCTTGGAGCCGCTAGGTCCGGAGCAGCAGGAGGCAGTGGCGAGCGCGCTGCTATTGGTGGAAGCTGGGGCTGTCCTTGCCACGTATGAGCTCCCCACACCTTACACCGCCCTCGTCCAATCCCGCAGCGACACGTCAGCAGCCCTCCAGCTCCTCCGCAGCCTCCTCTCTGCCTTCTCCCGCCGCCAGCTGCCGCCGGAGGATCCCGACTGGCTGGATATCTTCCGCCACGTCAGCACTCTCAAACACTCCGCGTTCCTCCCCCTCCCCCCAGTCTTTCTCCCTTCGGAAATGGCCAGAGTGCTTCTGAGGGAAGGGAGATTCGCGCTAGCCAGGCAGTTTTTGAGAAGCGGGAAGGGTGGGGAGAGTGGGGGGGGTGGGAGAGGAAGAGGGGGAGGGGAGGACGTGTGGTTGGAGGGAGATGCGATGATGAGTGAGGATCGGGTAGAGGCGCTTGTGATCGGTGCTGCCAGGAACTTCTTCTATTCCTCCCCGACACTCGACTCCCCAGATGTAAGTGTTGGCCATCTTGTGCTCTTATGTTGGGTGAGGATCGAGTGGAGGTGACAGTCAGTTGACTTAAAAGTCAACTCAAAGGGGAGGGAAAGAGTGGTTGGAGGGAGAAGCGGTGTTGAGTGAGGATCGGGTGGAGGCGCTGGTGATCGGTGCTGCCAGGAACTTCTTCTATTCCTCCCCGACACTCGACTCCCCAGATGTAAGTGTTGGCCATCTTGTGCTCTTGTGTTGGGTGAGGATCGAGTGGAGGTGACAGTCAGTTGACTTAAAAGTCAACTCAAAGGGGAGGGAAAGAGTGGTTGGAGGGAGAAGCGGTGTTGAGTGAGGTTCAGGTGGAGGCGCTGGTGATCGGTGCTGCCAGGAACTTCTTCTACTCCTCCCCGACACTGGACTCTCCAGATGTAAGCGTCTGTTGATACTTGTTTGATTGCGGTTGTGCTTGGGTATTCGTTCTTGGAAGCAAATCTGGTGTGATTGGTGCTGCCAGGAACTTCTTCTTTCTACTCGTCTCCGACACTAGATTCCCCAGATGTAAGGGTTTGTTGATTTGCTCGTGTTGTCGCGTCAATCATTCCTACCCTCATCCCTCCCACACCTGCTGCCTCTGCACCTGTTCCATGCAACCCACCCAAACTCCTTCACTAACCACCCAACCTCCTTCACCAACCATCCAACCTCCTTCACCAACCACTCAAACTCTCCCATTTTTCCCTCGCTCTTGTGTTTCCCTCCATTCCCTCCTTTGCCTCTTTCCCTCTCCTCCCCCCCCTCTCCCCCCCCTTCCCCTGCCCCTCCCCTCCCCTTCCCACCGCCACAGATCCACAGTGCCTTTGCCTGTCTGGACATTCTCCCTCGCAACCCAGCAGCAGCAGCGGAGCGCCAGACCTTCTCAGCACCAACTTCCTTAAGCAGTCTGCTCTAATTCCCCTCTTTCCCCCTTCCACCACCGCAGATCCACAGTGCCTTTGCCTGTCTGGACATTCTCCCACGCAACCCAGCAGCAGCAGCGGAGAGGCAGCTCTTCTCAGCCCTTGTCATCGACCTCCCAGCCTGTGGCCTCCACCTGCTGCCCCTCCACCTGCGCCAAACCCGCGACCGACTCGATATTATACACCAAGTGCTCAACCTCTGCCCGTTCCCTCCTATCACCCCCCTCACCACCACCACCACCACCACCACCTCCTCTTACTCCTCCTACCAATCCTCTTACTCCTCCTCTCACGCCTCCCCTTACTCGCCCTCCTCGGCCTCCTCCCCCTTCGCTCCAGTCTTTACCGTCGATCTCACCAACACAGGGGCTCCCGAGGTTCTCACCCTGGCCTGGAAATTAGGGCTGACGTCAGCAGCGGATGAAGGGAGGGTGCTAGAGGCGGTGGCACGAGCAGCAGCAGCAAGGGCGGATATTAGAACGGCTAGAAAGGTTGTTCAGGAGCTCATGAGTAGGAGCTATGGAGGGATATGGGATCTGTGTGCTGCTTTGGCTAGGGGACCGGCTAGTAAGGGGGGCAGGGGGGGTTGGGGAGGCAGGGGCGGGGGGCTGGGAGGGTTGGAGAGGCAGGGAGGGAGGTTAGGGAGTTGGATGCAGGGGCAGCTGCATAGGGGGAAGCTGTCGCGATCGGCTGTGGAGTTGGGTGCGGGTGAAGGGAGAAGGGGTGGTGTGAGGGGGAGAGGTGGGAAGGGTTCGGAGAGGGTGGATGGGAGTGATGATGGGGTGATGAGCAGCGATGGTGGGAGTGGTAGCAGCAGCAGCACGAGTCTGAGCGCTATGATTGGTGGAGCAGCCGCTTCTGCAACTGATCTGTCTGCTGATGTCAGCGTGGATGAGTCCACCAGCAGTGCAGCAAGCACTGCTGCTGACGTGGACGCTGACGTGGATGCTGACGTGGACGATGGATCCGACGACATCAGCATGCCAATCCGGCGGGAGTTCCTAGGGTTTTCTCTGGCTCATTGCGACGAAGCTTCCCTCCCGGACCTGCTAGCCTCGTGGCAAGGCTTGGATGCCACAGAACGGTGCGTGGCGCTAGGTGCGGCGACGGGCTTGGTAGTCCCAGGCCTGCGAGAGCAGGAGGCGCTTCTCCCGGACCTAGCTGCTGGCCGAGCCTCGGGCAAGTGGGAAGGCACGGAAGTGCTGGTGGTTCCCGAAGCTGCCACAGCCCCTGCTACAGCCAGTGCTACAGCCGGGAGCAGCAGCAGCAGCAGTATCAAAACCCGGGGGAAGGGAGGGAGCTCTGGTCTTACCACCAGCTCTGGCAGAAAACTGGTTAGTCTGGGTGGGGGCCGGGGGGCGATCGGGAGGGATGTGGGGAGGAGGGCGTTGGCGCTGGTATCGAGTGACGGGGAGGCGTGGGGGGATAAGAAGTGGGAGGAGGTGCCACGACTGCTGCTGCCGTTTGCCTGCCTGCACTTGCCCTGGATGCTCCAGGTGAAAACCCGCCGTGCTGCTGCTGCCGCCGCCGCCGCTGCTGCTGGGGTTGCTTCTAGAACTGGAGGGGCAGCAGCAGTAGCAGTAGCAGCAGCAGCAGTAGAAGGCAGAGGAGGAGGTGGAGGAGGAGGAGGAGTGGCAGAAGCAGCAGCAGGAGGAGCGTTAGCAGCAGCATCAGCTGCAGCAGATCCGATAGTCGAGCAGATTGTGGTGCTGATTCTGCACGTGCTCGCGTCCTGCCAGGTGTCGCCCTCTGATAAGCTCCTGACTGAAGCCGCCCGGAGCGCCCTAATCGCCGGGGACATAGTCTCTGCTGCAGCAGCTGCGGCTGGTCTGTTGGGGGGGGCAAATGGAGCAGGATTAAGGGGAGTGGGTGGAGTAGGGACAGGAGGATCAGGTGGTTTGTCAGGTGGTGGGTCAGGTGGTGGGTCAGGTGGCGGGTCAGGTGCCGAATCAGGTGGAGGGAGCAATGCTAGTGGTTCTGGGGCAGGGGATACAAGGGAAGTGAGCCCAACTGCCGCTGTTGCATCTGCTGAGGTGGCAGCGTGTGATTCGCTGGCGATGGCGTTTCTGCTGCAGGCCGGGGATTCAGTGCGGGCGGCGGGGGTGATCGATGCTGAGATGGCGAAACGGGACGGGGCAGATGCTAAGAGGCGGTTCGTGCTGCTGCTGCTGCAATTTTCTTCTCTTCACGCCACGCTCTTCCTGCTTGCTGCTCAGGTAAGGCCAGGTCAGGGCATCTCAGAGAATTCTCAGAAATATCCCAGTTGAGGGTGTGAGCTGAGTTGCTCAGGTTTAGAGTTGCTGAAGAAAGAAGGGGGGTGGGGGCGGGGGGTTGATTGATGCAAAGATGGCAAATGGGGAAGGGGCGGATGCAAAACGGCGGTTCGTGCTGCTGCTGCTGCAAATCTCGTCCCTCCGTGCCACACTCTTCCTGCTGGCCGCTCAGGTGGGATCTCAAAATGCCAGTCAAACGCATCTGTCCTGCATTGGTCATGCTCTCTCTCTTGCTCCCTCCGCCCGTTCAATTCCACCTGGCAGGCCAACGAGGCAGCGTTTGTGGGATCGCTGCTGCTGCTGCCACCAGTGCTGCTCGCGCGTGTGGCAGGGGAAGCTTCCAGGAAGGAGGAGCAGCTGGGAGAGACTGGAGCCCTGGGTTCCAGACCAGCGGTTAAGAGCTCTGGTGAGTGGTGGTGGTGGTGGTGCTGCTGCTGCGGCTTCTGCTTCTGTTGGGTCGACTCATAAAGAAGAGGGCGCTGGGGTTCCAGACCAGCGGTCAAGAGCTCTGGTGAGCGGTGCTGCTACTTGCATTGCTGGTGCTTCGGCTGCTGCTTTTCTCGTAACAGTTAGAAGCTCAGATGAGTGTGCTGTTGCTGCTTCTGCCCTTGTTGCCTTTGTTGCCTTTTTCTCCACCAACTCACTCACCCCAGCTCTCTCCTTGCTCAACCAATGCTTTTGAGTCGACTCAAAAGTCAAATCCTTGTTTTTCTCACCCAACTCACTCGTCCCAGCTCCCTCCTCTCTGAAGGAACCCCAGACGGGAGCCATAGTCTTTACGTGGCAGCAACTAGTTCAACTTTGTAAAAAGAACTTGTTTTTCTCACCCAACTCGCTCATCCCAGCTCCCTCCTCGCTCAACCCATGCTGTCCTTCAGCCCGTGCACACCAGCTTTTGAGTCGACTCAAAAGTCAGATCCTTGTTTTTCTCCACCAGCTCACTCTCTACCAACTCACTCATCCCAGCTCCATCCTCTCTCAACCCTTGCTGTCCTTCAGCCCGTGCGCGCCAGCTGTGCAAGCGGTGGTGTGAGGTGGCGCTGACGATGCAGGGGCGGCTGCGAGTGGTGGAGGACACGGGGGCGCTGCGCGCACTGCTGCCCCGCGCTGACGTGGCGCGTTTCGTGGCGCGTGACGTGGCGTACATGGAAGCTGCTATCGCCTCATTGGTCGATGAGACTGCTGCTGATGCTGCTGCTGCTGCTGCTGGGGGAAGAGTCATGACTGAGGCAGTGGGCCCCATGCCTCACTCCCTGGCCTCCGCCCTCTCCCTCGCTCACCTCTACCACATTGACTCCTGGCAGGTGAGGGTTGTTGGTGAGGGTGGGGGTGAGGGTGGGGGTGAGGGTGAGGGTGGGGGTGAGGGTGAGGGTGGGGGTGTGGATGGGGTGTTGTTGACTGATTGCGAGAGGGAATTGGAGGCAGATGGCCCCATGCCTCACGCCCTCGCCTCTGCCCTCTCACTCGCCCAGCTCTACCACATCGACTCCTGGCAGGTGAGGGTGGGGGTTGGATGGTGTGTGGTTGACACCTGGCAGGTGAGGGTTGGCTGCTGTGCTGTGCTGTTCAAAGCTGGCCGGAGGGAATTGGTGGCAGTACTGGCAGCAGCCAGTAGTGTTCATTTGCGCTTCGTCCCCGTTACCTAAAAATGTTCCGGTAAGGGACAGGCTTCTGACGAAAAGGCTCTGTTTTGTCTCATGTGGTGCAGGTCCATCTGACGTATGTCCGCTCGGTGCTGCTCTCTGATTGGCCGGCGCAAGATATCATTGCTGAGGTGGAGGCACACAAAGCCGCCATCTGTACTCGTCCCACCGCAGCCTTCTCCTTCCTCTGGACCTCCGTGCTCCCCCGCTTTCTCACTCAAATACAGACAACATCACACACCGACACAGGGTTACACGCTCAGAAACACCCCCCCACACTCCCCACCCTCGCCCCCTACCTCCTCCGCCTCCTCTCCCACTGCCTCCTCTCCTCCCTCTCCCCTCCTGCTCCTCCCTCCTCCCCTCTCACCCCCTCCCCTCCTCTCTCCCGCCCGCTCTCCCTCCCGCTCCCACCAACCCCTCTCACCGCACTCAACTCCTTTGTATCATCAGCGCAGAGCGCAGCATCTCTTTCTCCCAGGCTCTCTCTTTTAGCAGAGCAGCTTGAGAAGGCAGGGGGGCTTGAACCGCCGTTGAATGGGTGGGTGCTTCTGGGGGCGGCTGTTGCTGGTGCAGACACAGCAGCAGCAGCAGCAGCAGCAGCAGCAGCAGCAGCAGCAGCAGCAGCAGCAGCAGCAGCAGCAGCAGCAGCAGCAGCAGCAGGAACAGCAGCGAGCAGTGTTGTTGCTAGTGCAGCGGAAGAGAAGGGCAGTGGTGGCATTAACGAGGTGGAGAGAGTGGTTGAGAGGGAGATAGAGCGGTGCTTTGATGGGTCTTCCGTTCTGGCTGCTGCTGAGATAATCTTGTCTCTTGCTGACGCTGCTACTTCCACTGCAGCATTACCTGACGCTGCAAGAGCAGGGACAGCAGGAGGGTCAAGCGACCTGGACTCACAAACCCACTTTAACCAGAGCCACTTGCTCTGGCTCTTTGCTAAGTGCCAGTTGAGACAGGCTGGCGTGCTTGCTGATTCAGAGACCTCGAATGTTATGATTGAAGAGAGGAGAGGCGATGGGGGGGCGGTGGTGGCAATGGCAACTGGTGGGAAGCAGGACAGCAAGGCGGGTAGGGAAGAAACCGGAGAGGCAGGTGGGAAGGGAAGCGGGAAAAACAGGAAGTTGACTTTAGAAGGGCTGCAGTCCGCGCGTGTGGCTATGGCTGGGTCTTTATCCTTGCTCTCAGAAAGAAAGCGGCGGGAATTCATGCGTCTGCTGCTGCGAGGATGCGAGCGGTGGGTTCTAGAAGCATGCTTTGCAGGGGAAGGCAGTGGAGGGAAGAGAAGTGGGGTGAGAGGAGGTGGCAGTGGGAAGAAGGGGAGGGAAGGGAGGGGTGGGAGAGGGAGGGAGGGAGGAGAGGTGTGGAGGGGTGTGGAGCTTTGGCTAGATGTTGTGGGGGATTGGATGGGGTGTCACGGTGGGAGGTTGGAGGGGGGAGAAGGGAAGGAGGAAAGGGAGGAGAGGGAGGAGTGTGTGGTGGAGTGTGGGAGATGCATTCAGAAGCTGCTGACTTATGGGGTCGTGACACGTCAGCAAGGTGTGCTGCTCCTCCGGTTCCTCTCGGACTCATTGCTGAACACCCAAGGGTCCTTGGATGGGAGCAAAACCACTGCCACGTCAGCTGCCAGATCAGCTGCCACATCAGCAGTCCAGTCAGCACAAGTGACGGGCAATCAAGCTCAGGGCTATTCACCCTTACATGAAGACAAAATCGCTCCTGCACGCGCTTTAACCCTGGCTTTAATGCGTCAGATGGTTCTCGTGGGATGCCCCTTGCTCGCCCTAGTCGCCCTAGCCCAGGCCACACACGGTCGTGACAGCTGGCAGCTGCCTATTGGGGCTAAACCACGGCGCCGTGTGCTGACGTCAGCAAGGTCTGCAGGAGCCAATCAGGGAGCAGGACGAGCAGGCAGGAAAATTGGGAGAGGAAGGGAGGTAGGAGTAACGGCAGGTGCTGCATCCAGGAATCTTCCCGGTGATGCGGGCAGCGAGACGGGGAGCACGGGCGGCGAACAGGAGGAGTTTGCCATGGGTGACGTCAGCATGGCGGCTGGTGACGCCAGCAGGGGAGGCAGGAAGGCGGGGAGAGGACTGCGTGGGCGGGGAGGGAGGGCTGGTAGGACTAGTAGGGGAGGAGGGGGGAGAAGGGGAGAGGAGGAGGAGGAGGGAGAAGGAAAGAGTGAGAAAGAGAAAGAGGAAGACCCTATGGATCTGTTTGCATCTATGGGTTTAGTTTCCTCTGCTCCCCGTACGGCTGCTGGTAGCATTGCCAAGCCTGAAGCTTCCAAGAAGAAGCCTCTGGTTGTCTCCAAGGCTGGTGGTAGGCTTGGGGCGGTGAGAAAGGGAGGCTCGGCAGCTTCGGCACCAGCTTCGGTAGAACCAGAAGGTTTGGCCCCAGGCTCGATGCTTGGTTCGGTGGAATCGCCCCCGGATCTGGCTGCAACCTCTGCCTCAGGTGCCGTTTCAGGTGATTCTTCAGGTGCCCTCTCTGTTGCAGTTTCACCTGGGGATGGCGGACAGATGACAATGGACTTTGCAGCAGGGGCTGCTGGGGAGGAAAAATCCGTTTCCTCCCCACAGCCGAAACCCCTAACACCAATAGTTTCTCCTGCTGCTACTCCTGCTACTGCTGCTCTTACTGGTGATCATGATAATAAGGCTGGTGCTGATGCAGAAGCTGCTGCAGCTGTTGCCTGTCGTCCTGAGATCAGTATCTTGGGTCTGTACGTGTCAGTGCTGCGAGAGCTTATGGGAGAAGGACCCGAGCTTCATATGCATGCTCGTCCTGACGGGTTAGCTCAGACGATTATGAGAGATGAGGCATCTCAGAACGTGAGTGTGCATGTGCGTTCAGACAGGTTACCTCAGGCGATTATGAGAGTGATTCTTTCATTGGTGGAAGTGAGGGAGGGGGAGGTACGGCAGGTACTGAGTGAGAGAGAAGGGGGAAGTGAGGAGGATGAGGAGGAGAGTGGGTGGGGACTTGATTTATCAGGAGATGAGGATGAGGATGATGAAAAGGAGCATGAGGAGGGGGAGAGTGGGTGGGGGCATTTTGAGGTTCTTGTTGCAGCTGTGCGTTCTGCTGTCTGGAGGCTGCTGGTGCGTGTGGGAACACAGGAGGGGGAATCTGGGCTGGCGCTAAGTGCCACACTTACCAGCGATACTGCTGCACACTCCCCTGTGGTGCAAAGTGCCACACTTAGAGTGGCTGTTTTGGATGCAGTGAAGGCTGTAGCTCCAGTCTCGTCTGACCTATCAGCACCTGCCACGTGGCTCTCTGGGAGAGGGTTCTTTGTGGACGCTGTAGGGCTTGGGGTGATGAGCGGTGTAGAGGGGTGCTGGGGAGTGTGGGATTTGGAAGAGGGGGAAGGGGATCAGGATGACGTGGCATTGGACAGGTGGCGCTGGGCGGCGCTGCAATCGAGGGCAATCGTGCAGTTTGATTGGCCGGGAGAGCTCGCTGATGTGGCGCCGCTGCTGGATGACGTGGCAGCAGACGGCAGCTTCGGAAGCATAGGCTCGGCAGTGGAGTCTTTCAAACGAGCCTTCTTCATCCTGGATAGCGGCGCAAGGGGGAGGCAAACGAATGCAGCGGATACTCAAACTCAACAGCAGCAGCAGCAGCAGCAGCAGCAGCATCGTGAGCTATCGCTCCTGGCTCTTCTTGCCTTATGGGACCCTCTCCTCGCTCCCAAATGGTGCCATTCCGCTACCACCACCGCTGCTGCCAATGCTGCTGGCAATGCTGCTGGCTCTGATAGCACTTCTGCCGCCGCCGCTGCTGCGGCAGCTGGGTTGCATCCGCTGCACGAGTGCTGGTTTCTTCCTATCCGCCGCTGCGCTCTCTCTCTCCCTGTTGTCGCAGCAGCAGCACCAACAGGAGCAGGAGGAGCGTCAGCAGGAGCAGCAGCAGCAGCACAGGGTGCTCTCCTTGTGCCATCGCTGCTGCTCTCTGCTCTTGACGCTGCTGCCTTCCTGCCTTCAGGCAAGAGGGCAGCAGGGCGAATGCTGCTCTCTCGAGATGAAGCAGAGCAACTTTTGGCTGATACCGCTGCTGCTGGGAACAGTAACAGCGGTAACAGGGTTACCAGCAGTATCAGCGGTGGCAATGGTAACAGTGGTAACAGCAGTGCCCTAACAGCAGCCTCTCAAGCGGCTCTGTTCATGCTTAAAGTGGCTCTGTTGCTGCCGTACCCCCAGGTATGGCTGCAGTCAATGCAGCTAGTGAAAGTAGCTGCTGCTGCTGCCGCTGATGCTGCAGCAGAGGCTGATGGTGGTGGGGGTAAAAGGAGAGGTAGAGGCGGGTGGGGTGATGGGTGGGGGGGAGAGGAGGAGGGGGAAGAAGAGGAGGAAGAAGAGGATGAAGAGGAGGAGGAAGATGAGGATTCGTTTTACGATGAGGAATATAGTGATGATGATGGTGGGAGGGTGGGAGGGGGGCGGAGGGGTGGATGGAGGGCGGGTAGGAGAGGAAGGAGGAGAGGAGGAAAGGGAGGAAAGGATCGAGGTCCGTCATTGGATAATGAAGCTCTGACGCTGCTGCTAGCTGCTGATATCGTGCGCCAGATGGCGGATGCTCATTCGGTGGTGGTTCGGCCGCTGCTGGGAGCTATGGCAAGGGTTATCCCCCCTCTGGCGGTTCAGTTGCAGGAGGAACGGAGGAGGGAGAGAGAGCGGGTGGAGCGAGGGGGGGTGGAGAGCGAGGTGGGGGAGGGAGGGGATGTGGCGAGGAGGAATGGAGGTGTAGGGAGTGAGGAGGTGGAGAGGGGGGTGGGGTTGGGAGGAGGGAGGAGGGAGGGGAGAGAGACTGAAGGAGTGAGGAGGGGTGGTGGGGGGTGGATTGGGGATGAGGAAAGAGAGGAGGATGAGGAGGGAGAAGAGGGCATTGCAGGGTATCAGCAGAGGGGTGAGCAGCAGCAGCAGGGGCAGAGCGAGCAGCAGGCGCAGAGGAGAGGCATGCTGGGATCACTCCTCTCTCATATCAGCGCCCTTGCACCTTTGCCAACGGGGGATGATGATGATGGTGGTGATGGGGATGGGGATGGGGATGGGGTTGGTAACAATGGCAGGGAAGTGCATGGTGGGGAGTATGGCAACAGCAGCAGGGCTAGAGATAGCAGCAGGGATGATACCAGCAGGGGCAACAGCAGCAGGAGAGATAGCAGCAGCAGGAATTGCAGTAGCAGCACGGTGGGACCTCCGCCTCTCTATCGCACTTCCTTCCCCCATTTCGTCGCCTCTCTCACTGCCGCCCGCCAGTACGAGCTTGCCGCCCCTCTTGCCCTGCAGTTTCTGGGCAGACCGACGTTTTCCCGCAACTGGGCAGCTTCTCGGGCAGCTCTGAAGGAATTTCTTGTGAGCGAGCTGAGGGCTGCGGAAGCAGCAGGATTTGGGAAGATGGGGAAAGGAGATTCCGGTATATCTAAAGGGAGACGTTGGGAAGCTGAGGTTTCAAGGGGTGATTGTAAAGAGAGCGGTGGTGGTGGTGGTGGTGGTGGTGGTGGTGGTGGTGGTGGTGGTGGTGGTGGTGGTGGTGTGGTGGTGGTGGTGGTGGTGGTGGTGGTGGTGGTGGTGGTGGTGGTGGTGGTGGTGGTGGTGGTGGTGGTGGTGGTGGTGGTGGTGGTGGTGGTGGTGGTGGTGGTGGTGGTGGTGGTGGTGGTGGTGGTGGTGGTGGTGGTGGTGGTGGTGGTGGTGGTGGTGGTGGTGGTGTGGTGGTGGTGGTGGTGGTGGTGGTGGTGGTGGTGGTGGTGGTGGTGGTGGTGGTGGTGGTGGTGGTGGTGGTGGTGGTGGTGGTGGTGGTGGTGGTGGTGGTGGTGGTGGTGGTGGTGGTGGTGGTGGTGGTGGTGGTGGTGGTGGTGGTGGTGGTGGTGGTGGTGGTGGTGGTGGTGGTGGTGGTGGTGGTGGTGGTGGTGGTGGTGGTGGTGGTGGTGGTGGTGGTGGTGGTGGTGGTGGTGGTGGTGGTGGTGGTGGTGGTGGTGGTGGTGGTGGTGGTGGTGGTGGTGGTGGTGGTGGTGGTGGTGGTGGTGGTGGTGGTGGTGGTGGTGGTGGTGGTGGTGGTGGTGGTGGTGGTGGTGGTGGTGGTGGTGGTGGTGGTGGTGGTGGTGGTGGTGGTGGTGGTGGTGGTGGTGGTGGTGGTGGTGGTGGTGGTGGTGGTGGTGGTGGTGGTGGTGGTGGTGGTGGTGGTGGTGGTGGTGGTGGTGGTGGTGGTGGTGGTGGTGGTGTGGTGGTGGTGGTGGTGGTGGTGGTGGTGGTGGTGGTGGTGGTGGTGGTGGTGGTGGTGGTGGTGGTGGTGGTGTGGTGGTGGTGGTGGTGGTGGTGGTGGTGTGGTGGTGGGTGGTGGTGGTGGTGGTGGTGGTGGTGGTGGTGGTGGTGGTGGTGGTGGTGGTGGTGGTGGTGGTGTGGTGGTGGGTGGTGGTGTGGTGGTGGTGGTGGTGGTGGTGGTGGTGTGGTGGTGGTGGTGGTGGTGGTGGTGGTGGTGGTGTGGTGGTGGTGGTGGTGGTGGTGGTGGTGGTGGTGGTGGTGGTGGTGGTGGTGGTGGTGGTGGTGGTGGTGGTGGTGGTGGTGGTGGTGTGGTGGTGGTGGTGGTGGTGGTGGTGGTGGTGGTGGTGGTGGTGGTGGTGGTGGTGGTGGTGGTGGTGGTGGTGGTGGTGGTGGTGGTGGTGGTGGTGGTGGTGGTGGTGGTGGTGGTGGTGGTGGTGGTGGTGGTGGTGGTGGTGGTGGTGGTGGTGTGGTGGTGGTGGTGGTGGTTGTGATAATGGTGAAGGGGAGCCGGTGTATCTGTCTGGAGCGCTGTTTCATATCGGTGTGAATCTTCCAGACATCTTGCTACTCGCTCTGCAAATGCTACAGATTGATGCCTAAGTTGGATTTCTATTCAAGAGATACCGTAGTACCGTATAGTACCGTAGCTACAGGTACCGGTACTTAAGGACCTGGTTAGGCAAGACATGCAAGTTCCCTGTATCAAGTGGAGGCTTTGAGATGTCAGTGCTCCAGTCCACATGCGTTATCCAGTCGAGTCGTATTACTATAGCTAATATCATTTCAGCGTAAGGACAGCGTAGGGTACAAACTTTTACAATAAAAATATCCCACCCTGCCCGAAAAGTTAGTAGCTGGGTCCAACAAAGACTAGAGGAATAACACAAAACTCATGCAATAGACATTCCACGGGTAGAAGAAACTAGTGGGCCTGTAGCTAACCAATCACTTGCAGCCATCTGTCAGACCAGCAACCCAAAGAATCATTTCTGATGCTGCGACAGCATCCAGTCACATCACATGGAGCTACATGCCAGATCAGGCAGCTGAGGAGCTACTTGAGATGATACAAGTGAGTGGGTGGGGGAGATGAGTGAGTGGGTGGGTGGGGGAGATGAGGAGTGAGTGGGTGGGGGAGATGAGTGAGTGGGTGGGGGAGATAAGGAGTGAGTGGGTGGGGGGGATGAGTGAGTGGGTGGGTGAGATGAGGAGTGAGTGGGTGGGGGAGATGAGGAATGAGTGGGTGGGGGAGATGAGGAGTGAGTGGGTGGGTGAGATGAGGAGTGAGTGGGTGGGAGAGATGAGGAGTGATTGGGTGGGTGAGATGAGGAGTGAGTGGGTGGGTGAGATGAAGGATGAGTGGGTGGGGAAGATGAGGGGGTGAGTGGGGAAAAGTCAGGGGGGGCCGGGGGGGGGGATGTGGGGTGGTTAGAGAGAGGGAGACTAGGGTTGATGAGGCGGTGGTAGGGGAGGGGAGGGAGATGAGGGGTGAATGAGTGTAGGTGCTTTGCATGATGCTGCTGTGACTGATATTGCAGTGGGGAGAAAGAGGACGAGGGTAAATGGGGAGCGGGGGTTGAGTAGTGAGTGTGGGGGGAATGGGGGGAGAAGGGGGAGGGAGAGAGATGGGGAACGAGGGCTGAGCGGAGGGGAGATGAGGGGTGGATCAACGGGGAGAAAATGTGAGAGCGGGGAGATAAGACGAGAACGCAGGGAAAAGAGGGGAGAGTGGGGAAGATGAGGGGATAGTGGGGAGGGATGGGGGGAGAAAGTACCGGCAGAAAGTAGCGCTCGCGGCCCTGTCCACTGACGTGGGCTGTGTCCCACACGTCCATGTGGAGAGTCTACAGGGGAGCAGTCGTCGGGGGAAACGAGGAGGAGTGAGGAGCAGCGCGCTGCCGCCCCTCGACGCAAGGAAGGCAGGGCGGGGCAGTCGAGGGCGGTAGGGGAGGCAGAGACCTGGGAAGACCAGAGACAAGGAGACGGGAGTGCATGCCACGAAGGCGTGGCAGGGAGGGGTGACCCAGGCGGTGGTGCCACAGAAGAGTCTGGTGCGACAGAAGGCGACACGAGCAAGGGGGTGCTACCTGACCTGACGCGGACACCTGAGCTGGCGCAGCTACCTGAGGAGGCTCGGTAGCCAGTGTGTACAGACTCGACCCTGGCCGACGAGTGAACATGGCCAGGTGACGACCCGTCCGTGTACACGTGCAGATCGACACACGCTGACCCCCAGGAGTGGTGGTAGTGACCATCGCGTCCTGGAGGGCAGCGGTACTCACCAAGTTCGTAGAGAACGAGGGGAGGTGAAGACCTGACAGTGAGCCGGACGGAACCGCCGGACACGGGAGGACAGTGGAGGAACGGGCAACGACCGGGCCCCCGAAGGGGTCAGCCAATCTGATCGGGACAGGTGCAGGGAGAGGAGTGAGGGTGGTGCTGTCACGAAAGAAACAGCGCGAGGCACCTGAGTCCAGCGTGAAGGTGTGCAAGGCCTCAGCAGGCGCAGTACCAGGGAGAACAGACTCACTAGCACCTAGAGCAGCAGCCTCTATACCTGGGTTAGGCGGCACACACCTGTAACAGTCACCCTCAGCACTAACAGACAAAGCATACATAGCAGAAAGGATAGCATCATAGTCTAGGTCAAAGATCGCAACTCCAGACCTAAGAAGCTCTGACCAGTGGGGGAGCTCGACCTCGCCACCAAACTCAGCGCGCCAAGCGTCGTCGAGGCGGGAGAAGCAGCGGTGCTGAGTGTGAGGCTTCCCGCATGTCTGACCAGCACGGTCACCCGTGCGAATGACATACGGGCAGCTCACACTACCCCCAGACGCCCCACGCTGAAACAACCACTCACGAAGCTGCTGGGGCGACAGGGACTCGCTCCGACGCTGCTGCCGCTGCCTCTGGCCTCCTCCAGAACCTCCACGCTGCGCTCCAGTCCTACCGCCACCACTCCCACCGCTGCCACTACCGCTACTCCCACCGCCGCCTCCACCAGAGCCACCAAAGCCCCCACTCCCGCCTCCACTCCCACCGCTGCCACCACCTCCACTGCCTCCACCACCTCCACTGCTGCCCCCACCACCACCCCCGCTGCCACCTCCACCACCCCTGCCACCCTTGCCCTTGCTGCTGCGGCGCTTCCCACCAGCGGAAGCAGCTCCGACATCCTCAGCACCAAGGACGTCAACAGCAGCAGCAGAGGCGTAGGAGGGGGCAAGGGGGGATGGGGAACACCCCTCAAAGAAGGGCGTGCGAGGAGTGCCACGAGCAGCACCTACAACAACTACACTAGTCTCAGCTGCAAGGAGGTGCTGCTCGAGTAGGTCAACAGTGAGGGTTGTGGGGTCAAGTGCGAGAAAGTGGTCCTTGACGGCGCGAAGAGAGTCAGGGAGGTGGGTGACTATAAAGTAGAGAGTGATGTACAGCGGGGGCGGGTTTGTGGCAAGGAACTCCGCTGGGAGGGCAGCACGGTAGCGAGCGTCGCTAGTGCGAAGGTGGGAAACAAGGTCCTCGACTGTGGCAAAGGCGGACAGCTCGGGAAACAGGTAGGGCAGGAGAAGACGGCCTAGAGCAGCAGTGGCAGGGGAGGAGTAGCGGGCGACTACAGCGTCGTACAGTGCCTGTGCTGTCCGAAGTGAGCGCATTCGGCCAACGGAAGGTGTTTGCGAATGGCTAAGCGAGCAGCAGCGTCACGAGTAAGCCACTGTGAGTGAGTCGCACTGTCAGCTGTGGCGGGAGGGGCGGGAGCGGCGCCAGACGTGTAGTCAAACAACGAAACACTGTCCCTAGAGTCGCTCAGTAGGTACAGCTGCAAGTCGTCAAGCCACGTGTCAAACTGGATCGGTCTGCCCTCATGATCGAACGCTAGAATGCGGAGAGAAGCCATAGTGGCGCAGCACGCAGGGCGGGCAGAGGCTGGGCAGCGCAGAGAAAAGGGAGGGCATGTAGCAGGCTGCAGGAGGGGAGGCTCGAGGGCCTAGGGGCAGCAGCAGGGCGACGTGTCGGGGCCAGGGGCGACGGGCCGGGGGCCTAGGGGTGACGGGCCACGAGGCCAGGGGCTAGGGGCGACAGGGCCGCGGGGCCAGGAGCGACGGGCCGCGGGGCCTGGAGCGACGGGCCGGGGGCCTAGGGGCGACGGGCCGCGGGGCCAAGAGCGACGGGCCGGGGAGCCTAGGGGGCGACGGGCCGCGGGGCCAGGAGGGACGGGCCGCAGGGCCGAGAGTGATGGGCCGGGTGCCTAGGGGCGACGGGCCGCGGGGCCAGGAGCGACGGGTCGGGGGGCCTAGGGGCGACGGGCCGCGAGGCCAAGGGGCGACGGGCCGCGGGGCCGGGAGCGACGGGCCGGGGGCCTAGGGGGCGACGGGCCGCGGGGCCAGGAGCGACGGGCCGCGGGGCCGAGAGCGAGGGGCCAGGGGCCTAGGGGCGATGGGTCGGGGGGCCTAGGGGCGACGGGCCGCGTGGCCAGGAGCGACGGGCCGCGGGGCCGGGAGCGACGGGCCGGGGGCCTAGGGGGCGACGGGCCGCGGGGCCAGGAGCGACGGGCCGCGGGGCCGAGAGTGACGGGCCAGGTGCCTAGGGGCGACGGGCCGCGGGGCCAGGAGCGACGGGTCGGGGGGCCTAGGGGCGACAGGCCGCGGGGCCAAGGGGCGACGGGCCGCGGGGCCAGGAGCGACGGGCCGGGGCCTAGGTTAGGGGTGACGGGCCGCGGGGCCAGGGGCGACGGGCTACGGGCCGGGCCTAGGGGGGGCGACGAGCGACGGGCCACGGGGCCAAGGGCGACGGATCGTGCTAGGGGCGACGGGCCGGCCTAAAGGCGACGGGCCTAGGGGCGACGGGCCGGGCTAGGGGCGGCTAGTGGGGCAGCGCAGTGGTGGGCCCAAGGAAAAAAAAAACGGTTATAGCCTACACAATGGTAAGCAATATAACATTCTGACACGCTTTTGATGTGTCGAAGCACTATAAAAAGAACGAAGCATATCCACAGCGAAACAACACCGAGTCAACCAAGATACAATAAAACGGTTGACAAGGCGACAACAGCAGGTTGAAGCGAATGTCAAAGGTCAGCAACCTTTGACTTGACAAAGGCAGCGCGACAGCAATGACAAATAACTGACTCGCTGTTGAGCAGTTACCCGAGTCGTCGCTGTATCGAACCGCAACAGCAGTTACAGTTAAACCTTTCGTATTCCTTGTAATCATATAAGAGCCTTGTATGTCTTTGTTATAATCAACTCATATTGTTCTCACATACTAGTGCAAGGTGGTTCAATTAATCCACTATTACGCTTCTACTAATACATCACCACTCTGAGAGTTTAGTCTTGAAAACGATCCTAAGGGCCTTTTCAGCCCAACATGGTATGAGAGCCTGCAAGACAAAACTCAACGCTGTTCAACTTCCTGCAACAACAGAAGACATGGCAACACAGAAGGAAAGAAGCTCGTCTACTGGATCTCCCGTAACTACTCCTACTCCACCGCCAGCCTCTGGACTGCAGACAGAAAGAGGCACAACTCAAAGACCAGCTGCTGAGTCAACTGAGACTCCTGCGAACCAAGCAACCGGCATCGACCCAAGCATGATGGAGAAATTCTTCTCCTTCATGTCGTTCTACGAGCAACATCAACAAGCGGCACTTGCACAATCAAACAACAGCAACAACAACAACGGATTCACTCCCATGAGTCTCGTCGGCTCATCTTTTGTGCGCGGAAATCAGCCTACCTTCGCACCGTATGTACCTCAACGCGACTCCGTCAGCTTCATGCCGAATCGGCTCCCACCTGGACAAGAGACGAAGACACTGGATGCACTTCATTTGCAGCCACAATTCGCACACGTGCTGAAACTGCAAACATCAACACCATTTGACGGAAAGGAATTCTATGCCTGGTCCTTTGCATTCGAGCTGATGATGGAAGGCGCTCAAATTTTTGGCTTCTTCGACGGCTCCCTGCCATATCCAACGCATGGGACATAGTACGACAAGCAGTAGTACACGTACCAGTCACTGATGGCGTACACCATACTTCTGCGAAACATAACGACAAACGAGCAGCAGAACATCTGGTCTTATCGCGGATACGGAAACTCCGCCGAGCTCGCGTACAACCACCTGAAGAACCTGTATCAAGCAACCGACAGCGTTAATCAAAGTCGCCTCATGGCGCAATTAACAACGGTCCAAATGCAACCCGGCAAAAAGGGAATGGCATATATCAGACGCTGTCATGGTCTGCGCGATAGACTCCAATGCGGCGGATCAATATCCGAAGAAGCGTTCGTCACTGTCGTCATCACAGGTCTCGGTCCTCAATGGCGCTCCACTCGAGCCATTCTCCGAGCCCACGGAAGAATCTTCGAAGAAAATATCTGCACCAAATTTCATGCCGACCGAAAAGACATGGACCTCCATGAAGAACGACAAAAGAAAAGAGGATCAGCACCAGAGTTCGCCTTTCACACTCAGCGGCGCAACAACAACAACAACCGACAACAAGAGCACCAAGCACGAAGATACGTACCACCGTTCTGTCATCTCTGCCAAACGTCAGGACACTCTCGTATTCACTGCCCGAATCAGCAGCAATCGACTCCATCACCACGTCAACTTCGACCTTCAAGCAGTCAAGTGACTTCCACACAGCAGCATCCTTCGAATCAAGCACCGTCTTCAACGACAACGTCACAACCTGCACGAGGAACAAGAAACATCATAAGATGTTTGACAAGAACGGACTCCTGCATCACCGGTTCACCACCGACCTACTCACCAGAAGAACTGCTCGACGAAAGCACACCTCGTCGGGAATCACTGCAACCAAACCCAACATACGCAGCTATCGCACAGAGCGAACTGTCCGGTCAAGACACTTGGTTCTTAGACAGCTGCTGCGGACAACACATGTGCTCGTCAAATCGCTTCGTTCAACGGGAACAGCACCTCAACCGGGAAGTCGTGATCACCGTCGCCAACAACCA